TTTAGGAGTTCTTGTAGAGCAGGTTTGGTGGTGATGAAATCACTGAGTGCTTGCTTGTTCACAAAGGATTTTATTTTTCCTTCACTTATGAAGCTTAGTTTGGCTGGATAGGAGATTCTGGGTTGAAAGTTCTTTTCTTTAAGGATGTTGAATATTGGCCCCCAATCTCTTCTGGCTTGTAGGGTTTCTGCTGAGAGATCTGCTGTGAGTCTAATGGGCTTCCCTTTGTGGGTAACCCGACCTTTCTCTCTGGCTGCCCTTAGCATTTTCTCTTTCATTTCAACCCTGGTGAATCTCACGATTATGTGCCTTGGGGTTGCTCTTCTTGAGGAATATCTTTGTGGTGTTCTCTGTATTTCCTGGATTTGAATATTGGTCTGCCTTGCTAGGTTGGGGAAGTTTTCCTGGATAATATCCTGAAGAGTATTTTCCAGCTTGGATTCATTCTCTTCATCACATTCAGGTACACCTATCAGACGTAGATTAGGTCTTTTCACATAGTCCCACATTTCTTGAAGATTTTGTTCATTCCTTTTTGTGCTTTTTTCTCTGTTCTTGCCTTCTCTTTTTATTTCATTGAGTTGATCTTCGACCTCTGATATCCTTTCTTCTGCTTGGTCAATTTGGCTGTTGAAGCTTGTGCATGCTTCACGAAGTTCTCGTGTTGCGTTTTTCAGCTCCATCAATTCACTTATACTCCTCTCTATGCTGCCCATTCTCGTCAGCAGTTCGTCCAATCTTTTTTCAAGGTTCCTATTTTCTTTGCGTTGGGTTAGAACATGTTCTTTTAACTCATTGTAGTTTCTTACTACCCACCTTCTGAAGTCTGATTCTGTCATTTCATCACCCTCCTTCTCCATCCAGTCTGGTTCCCTTGCTGGTGAGGAGTTGTGATCACTTTTAGGAGGAGAGGTGTTCTGGTTTCGGGAGTTTTCATCCTTTTTGTGCTGGTTTCTTCCCATTTTTGTGGGTTTATCCACCTGTTGTCTGCCTCTGTCCCAGGGAGTTGGAGCTTTATGAGTTTCCGTTGCACTACTGCCTTTTTTGATTTTTCTTTCAGGTCTGACCTGCCCAGCTAGCAGCAGGCCTAGCCACTGCCTGCCCGCAGGGGCTTTGCTGAGCTGCTGTGGGCTCCGCCCAGCTGCCCTGAGCTCTTCCCTGTAGTCCTTTTTATATGGGCGTAGTTAGAACTGTCTGGGCAACGGTGGCCCCGCCTCTGTTATGGTGGACTCTCTCTGTTGTGGCAGGTTGCCTCGGCAACGGCGGGTTGCCTCGGCAACGGCAGCCTGCCTCCGTAGCGGTGGAGAGTCTCAGTAATGGCGGAAGCCCCTCCCCCATGGAGCCGGACCGTCCCGGTTCAGCTGTGCTTGGTTTGAAGGGCTCAACCCAGAGGGTTTCCAATTACTGTTTCTGTTTTCGTTGTTGTTGGGGGTGGAGGGGTGGGACCAACCGAGCCTGATCACCTGGCTCCCTGACTCAGAGTCTTTTCTTTTAAGTTGAAGACCCCGCGTTCTGGTCGCTTGTTGAAAAGGCGCCGGGATCTCCCGTGCTGCGACTCACGGAGTCGGCTCGAACTGTGGCGCCAGCTCCTGGCGGATTTTTTGCCTAGGAATCTCCTGGCCTGACTCGCTATTTCAGATGAATGGGCAACTCTGCCGTCTCAGGGCTCCGCTCGCCAGCTAAGAGGGCTCCCAGACCAGTGGCTTTTGTACGGAGAACCGCAGCTGCAGGGCGTGGTCACAGCAGCCGCGCAGGCGGAATCAGCCCCACAGGGGCCAAATCAGCCGCACCGGCTGGGACTGCGATGCTGGCGACCCCTCTGCCTGGGTATCTCCTGGTCTGTGGGCAATAAGAGTTCGTCTGGAAATGCAGCGTCCACTCACCCTCTGCACCTTCACTGGGAGCTGAAGTCCTGAGCTGTTCTTAGGTGGCCATCTTCCCAGCATTCGGGTCTGGCAATATCTTCTATCAGGAGGCCGAGGAAGCCCCAAACATTATCAATCATATCCAAAAAGATAACATCACTGTGCCCTTAATTTGGTGCAAATGAAACTATCATAATCTGAAATTAAAGTTTCTTGGGCTTTATGAGTTTTCCCCAATGTGCCTTGACTCCAAAATAGCTAAAAGATAGATGAAATCCACATGCATGCACACATTTCAGTGTTTGCTTTGAGATGGAGTCTTGCTCCATCACCCAGGCTGGAGTGCAATGGCGCGAAATCGGCTCACTGCAACCTCCGCCTCCCGGAATTCAAGCTATTCTCCTGCCTCAGCTTACCCAGTAGCTGGGACTACAGGCGTGTGCCACCATGCTAGGCAAATTTTCTGTATTTTTAGTAGAGACAGGGTTTCACTGTGTCAGCCAGAATGGTCTCTAACTCCTGACTTTGTGATCCCCCTGCCTCGGCCTCCCAAAGTGCTGGGATTACAGATGTGAGCCACCACACCCGGCCTGCAGTGGTTTTAATACGTTTTAATAGAACAGGGAAAGCATAACTAAGACTGTCAATCCTGTGACTACAGGACTTGATCTCTGCTCTGGTTGGAATGTTCATGTCCCTTCAAAATTCATGTTGAAACTTAAATCCCCAATGCAATAAGATTAAGAGATCGCCTTTATGAAGTGATTAGGTCATGAAGGTTAGCTCAGTCAACCAGGCTGATAGAATTGTCATTGTTTGAGCACATGCATTACATTGGAATGGGTATCAGTGGCTTAGAAGAACATCTTAGAAACAATAGTGGGGCACTCTTTAAGAAATGCTGCATCTCTCATGCCACTGTACTCCAGCCTGGGTGACAAAGCAAGACATTGCGGCGCGATGGCTCACGCCTGTAATCCCAGCACTTTGGGAGGCCGAGGCGGGTGGATCACGAGGTCAAGAGATCGAGACCATCCTGGTCAACATTGTGAAACCCCATCTCTACTAAAAATACAAAAAATTAGCTGGGCATGGTGACACGTGTCTGTAATCCCAGCTACTCAGGAGGCTGAGGCAGGAGAATTGCCTGAACCCAGGAGGCGGAGGTTGCGGTGAGCCGAGATTGCACCATTGCACTCCAGCCTGGGTAACAAGAGTGAAACTTTGTCTCAAAAAAAAAAAAGAAAAGAAAGAAAAAGAAAAAAGAAAGAAATCATCAAGACTGATTAGGATAGTGATTTAGAAGAATCTAATTCAGCATGAAGTTTAGAAACAATTAACTGAGTTATCTTGCTTATTTTTTTCCTTTATACATGCATGGAAAAAAACTAAAAGTCTAAAAACATCTTCAAATGGGCAGCAAAAAATAAATATTTTAAGTGATAATAAAGTTTTTTGTCATAGTTAAATGGCAGCATGATTTTTCTGAGTGTTACATAAAATAATAATATGCCTTACAATAAATGGTATCTTAAGGTAAATGCTTATGATATTAGTTATTTTGGTAGCTCTCAGGAGAGGCATCAAGTTTAGAAATTATCAGAACATTAAACTGTGAAATACAAGAGGATTCCACTGACCTGAGTTTCCAAAGAGCCGGACAAAAAGTCACTGTACCATAGGTTAAGAAATGACCATCAAGGGGCAACTGACTGACAAATCTGCCTGCACAGCCACAGCCATATCTCCTCCACCAAATCCAGAACCAGTGTCTTTTTTTTTTTTAATAGATGGAGTCTTGCTCTGTCGCCCAGGCTGGAGTGCAATGGCGTGATCTCGGCTCACTACAACCTCTGCCTCCCAGGTTCAAACGATCCTCTCACCTCAGCCTCCTGAGTAGCTGGGACTATAGGCATCTGCCACCATGTCCAGCTAATTTTTTAAGTTTTTTGTAGAGATGGGGCTTTGCCATGCTGGCCAGGCTGGTCTCAAACTCCTGACCTCAGGTGACCCGCCCACCTCAGCTGCTGAAACTGTTGGGATTACAGGTGTGAGCCACCGCGCCCGGCTCCAGAACCAGTTTCTAGCTGGTTAACACTCCACCTGACTGTACCCACCTCCCAGGGGCCTCAAACAAAACCCATTCATGCCCTCATGACCCAGGCCACTCACCTACTCCTCCCCTGCACCCCCCAGCAACAGCCCAAGCCAGACAGCTGGGGGCAGAAAGTCCTTCCTCTCCCTAAGTCCTGGTGACAAGTCCTGAGGACTCTGCCTCCTCCTACCACTTCGTCCTGTCTGCTGCTCACGACCGTCTCAGTGAGAGGCCTTCTAGAGGTCTTGTTTCCTCCATTTTGGCAGTGACCTGATTGGTCCTCCCCTGTTCTGGGCTCTCCTGGCACCAGTCTACTTTTCAAATGGCTGTGGCAGTTACCTGCCCACACCTAAGATGAATCTGATCCCTTTTCACTGCTTAAAACCCTTCAAGGTCTCTTCTGGCAAGCACATCAAAGCCAAACCCTCCCTCCTGTAAAGCATGGCCTTTCATCGTCTGTCTGCCTTGGCCCACTAAGCTTCTGGCTTTCCCAGGCTATCCTCGGTTTCTGCCACCTTGAACTTGTCAGTCCCAGAACACACCATACTCTTGCCTTGGTTCTTTTACTTGGACCCTTCCGTCTGTCTGAAATACTTTATAATTGTGCCATCCCCAAAATCCCTCCTGCTAATGTTCATTGCAACGCCAAGACCCAGATAATATATTACCTCTTCTGTAAAAACTGAAATTTCTGAAAAACGTGTTCTTATGGCATTCTCTGTAGACCTCTATTATTGCATGTAACCCAGTATATTATTTGTTTTGCATGTCCTTTTTGCCCTGTGGGCTTTTAGAATAAGAATACATACTTCATCTGGCATACATAAATTTTTTTTTTGAATGAATGGGTAAATAAATGAATGGCTTAACAAATGAAGTGCTGTGAGATACTTTGAAGAACAAAGTAAGAATCTTTCAGTATCACATCGTCCACCCTATGGCACTAACACTTTTGTTTTCCTCCCACTCTTTTTTTGAAAGCCATTCCTCCAACCCTTCCCTGTTTAAGTCCTGTGCCCATCGTGAGCATTTCCACATACCTCATTCATCTCATTTATGTCTTGCCACTGGGTTAGCAGCACCCGCACTGCAGGACTGTGACCATGCTTCGCAGCGAGGTGCAGGGCAGTGTTTCCCTCCTGCAACAGAGACATACTGGAGGTAGAATCCCCTGTGCCGGGAGAGCAGGCTCCTTCAATAGCAAGGCTGCAGTGGAGTTTCTGGAAGCTTCCATTTTGGTTAAAGTTGCAGTCTAGAGTGTGGACGACAGCATCTGCTGTTTTAAGTGAAATTTATGTATTTTTACATTTTAAATAAAAAGGCATAGCTTTTTGAACCAGTGGGAAAAAAGCCATCCATGCCTTGTCATCTGACTGTGATGTTGGACATCACGTGCCTTGTCCTAACTTTGCCACCAATTGCTGGCAACACGTGGAGCAACAAAAGAAATCCCATTTAACCTCTGTAAGGCTAAAATGGTGAACAAGTTCCATGAGCTCACTAGCAATATCATATATCAAAACTTTTTAAAAATGTGCAGAAGCCTTTGACCCACTATTCTACATCTAGGAATTTCTCCTAAGAAAGTCATCAAAGATGTATATATAAATATAGACGTCTACCCCAGGATTTTTTCCTCCCCTTTCATATAGGGCTGAGCCTCCAGGAGACCTCACGGGAGGGGAGGAGAGGGGTGGAGTTGATCATGGAAGAATTCATGTGGTCTGTTGACTTCACAAACATTTATGAAGCAAAAAATACCAATCTGGACAACCCACAGAAATAGTGGAAGGATTTTTGCCTGGATATTTCATGATTCTCTCTGAGTACAGTAACAATTTAACAACTCTCCTGCTGCCTGAAATGCCCTCACCAAATCTACATGCCAATTGTTACTCCTCTACATCAATTGTTACTCCCCTTTCTCTTGTTCTCAGCAAAGAAATAAAACTCCAACTCACCTTGTCCTTTTCTGAAGTATGCAGGTTTAGGAAGGTAAGTTTTTCTATCATTTCAGCATGGCCCCTCTCAGCTGCCAAAAGAAATGGTTTTCTTCCTTTCTAAAAATCAATCACAAACTTCAAGCATTTATGACACTCTTAGTGAACAAGCCAAACAATGGACAAAGCTAGTGGCATTTTAAGGATGATGGGGAGTCCAAGGTGGCCCTTCCTATGGGAGAAAGATGATGCTGTCTCTGACTCCAAACCAGATCCAGTTCTGAGTTTTCACTCAAGACTGTGGGAGACTCTACATCAGCATGAAATCTGTTTTACGGGGGAAAGCAAATACTGTTCAGAAAAGCTCCTCTCGAGTATCAGGGGAGGATCAAGCAACATCACAGTCAGATGACAAGATTCCCTTTCAAATATAGTAATATTATGAACTTTATTTATTCAATAGTTCTTTCACCATTTACTGAGAAGCTACTATGTGCCAGACCCTGTCTCAGGCACCTGCACATCATACTAAGCCTTCCCTTACTCATAACAATGTTTGAAACAGAAATTTTCTGGGGCTAATTATTTATGTGGCTCATTCTGACATGACATTTGATGAACTACTTCTCCTTAGGCCCTCCCTGCTTCCTCACAGACTTATCTACAATATCTACTAAGAATCAATAGGAAAGCTCTTGAGAATAGGTCAATATGAAATGGAAATAAGAAATGGGGCTTTATCCAGAGACTATAGATGTAGAGAAACGTTTAGGTTTGATTTTTTTTAGAAGATAAGCTCAAATATAGAATTTTCTGATTATGGAATTCCTCCTACTTTTCATGTTGCCATTGGCGACTGCATTTGCCATAGCCAAAATGTCATCAAGAAAAGTGAAAGACATATCTTAGTCTGCTTTGTGTTGCTATAACAGAATATCTCAGGCTGGGTAACTTAAAAAGAAAAGAGATTTATTTAGCTCATAGTTCTGCAGGCTGGGAAGTTCAAGGGCATGGTCTTGGCTTCCCACAAGGCTTTTCACACTGTTCCATAACATGAGAGAGAAGATCAGAGGGATGTGAACATGTATGAAGAGACAAAACTCAAGGGGCATCCTAGCTCCCACTCTTGTGGGAACAGATTTATTCCTATGAGAATGAATCTAGTCCCACCAAAGTGAGAACTCACTACCTGAAGAATGGCACCAAGCCATTCATGAAAGTTCCACCCTCATGACCAAACATTTCCCAATAGGTCCCACCTCCTAACACAACCAGATTGGGGATCAAATTTCAACATGAATTCTGATGGGGACAAACCATAGCCAAACTATAGCAGATCCACAGAAAGTGTAATGTTGTAACTTGAGATAATTAAAAGAAGCGAAAGAAAGTTGTGGTGGCAATATGATAGCAGAAGTATTTTCTTCAATTAAAGAGAAGAAAACGCTCACAAATTGGCTTAGTGTGTTACTGAAAGCTTAGCAAGGTGTCTTAATGTGAAAAAATGGACACAAGCCTCTTTATAAAAAGGTCCTAAATCTGAGATTAGTTATCTAAGACTTGATAAAATAGGGTAATGATCATGGTCACTGTTAACCTGAGATAACAACTCAGGAGCCCCCAGTAACTGGAGAAAAAAAGGAAGAAAAAAAATGCTAAAATAATAAAGGCAAAAACAAAAACAAATCTATAAAATCAGTCCTACAGAGGTCTGTATTTATGCATGCATGGAAGCTGGAGAAAACAGTTTGCTCCAAAAAGTTCATCTAATTCATCATTCTTGGGCCATATATGTCACCAATGAGATCTACGTCCTCAACCCTTCAAAGGGTTTAGTGATTTCTTCTCAGAAAATCAGTAAGAAATGGCAAAGGGAAGAAACAGAGACTGCTTGGAACCACAGTTTGCTGCTTTCAAGGTAAGCATTAATTGAAGGGTAAAATTTAATCTTGAGCCATGAGCAACTCTTCATAAATAACAAACCAAAAATCATTGTGTCTGATATATAAATATCTGCAAATAGTGACTACAGGTAAAGTTTCATGTAAACAAATCACAAAAGAGGGAACAAAAAACAGTGATTATATACTAGATGAAAACATCTGGTCACATATCCTCATAAATCATTTATTCATTTGTTCAACAATGTGCTAAGCAATAAAGTGACCAAGCTGAGAAATACATTGCTCATCCTCAAACTGGTATTTGTAGTTGCTCTGTAGTTCTTCCCAGAAGATGGAATTTCCAGTTAGGGGTCATTTTATCATAATCTATGCTGCTTAGTAACATCGTTAATAATCTATCTAGTTTGCAAGGACACAGAGGCAAAAAGTTAAACCAAAATTTAAATTCTCATAAAGAAGGAAAGGGGTTTTGTTAGCTTTTTACCCAGAGACCACAAATTATACATGAAGGTGTTGTGGCCTAGTGTGGCATTTGTTGCTTTTGGCTTTATATTTACCTTTTTTCTAGTAACAGCACTTTCGTTTTACTGTGGAGAGCAACCACGCATACACGTACACACCCTACCGTTTAGTGCATTTAGTGCTGTTCATTTTCAGGCCTTACCTGCCTGCCTTCTGCCACAATATTAGACAAAATGACAATAGGAATTTCAAAGATATATGTGGTTTGTAAAAAATATAGTTTCTTATCATGTCCTTTATTTTTTTTAACCACTCAATCAATCCTTTTTCATCACATTCAAGTAGGCCTCTATCCAGGGCAGTCTCACAGGACCTCCCTTACTTGGAAGGCAGGAAGCTTTTCTAGCCAGGTAGATGGTGGAGCTTGGTGTCAGAGCTCTGGGCTCTAGGGCAAATCACAATGACTCCCTGGCTCAAGATCCTGTCCCTGTAAGTACTAAAATAATGTGAGTCCAGGATTCCTGTTCCATTTTTCCTCTATTAACTCAATGCATATTTAACCTGATTATAATAGGGTCTTACTTTGTCACTCAGGCTGGAATGCAGTGGCATGATCTCAGCTCACTGCAACTTCCACCTCCTGAGATCTGGTGATCCTCCCACCTCAGCCTCCCAAGTAGCTGGGACCACCAGTGTGCACCACCCCACACTGGCTAATTTTTTGTAGAGACAGGTTTTCACCATGCTTCCCAGGCTGGTCTTGAAATCCTGAGCTCAAGAGATCCTCCCACCTCTGCCTCCCAAAGTGCTGGGATTAGAAGTGTGAGCCACTGTACCTGACTAACCTGATATGTTTTAATGCAATGCATTTAATTTTTTGTTTGCATGTAAGTCTGAGGGATTGGGATTGTTCATTATAAACAATTTTTAAGTTTGCTGAGAAGATGAAGTTACCAAATTTGATGTCATCAAATTCAGCAAAAATTTCATCAATAGCCATTAAGTGGGTATTCAAAGTTCAACCTGACCTTCCTTTACCACAGGGATCTCTGAGATCTCTGAGGATCCCCTGAGGAGAGGGCACTGGGTGGGCCTCCAGTGCACGGTCCCACCCCACAACACTTCCCATCACCCCGGGATCAGGCACTTGAGCCAGGGGAAAACCCTGAATAACTAGAAACTTCAGAGGTTAAAAAAAATATGTGTCATGAGGTCAAAAAAGAAAGCAGTGTGTTAAATTTGAAAAAGTGGCACTGGTAGGGTGGGAGACACTGGGCTAGTTTTCCCCTTACATAAAGGAAATAATAGATTTGATTAAATCCAAAGCTGTTAAATGTTGCCTGTGTCTATATAAGAAAACAGGTGTCTTCTCAAGTCTCCTTCTACTCACTATTCCCACCCCTTCCAGAAAAAGAAGCTTCTTTGCCTTTTGACTTCCGGAGAATTTAAACCATGGAAGTCCACCATATGCATAGCTGAAACCAACCTAACATTATACCACACCAAATTCTTGTAAATATCCAACAAATATATGAATGGTATGTAAGGCCTTCCTATTTCCCTCCCTCTCCAAATATGTTAGTCTGAGCATTTATTTTTGATCACCATACGGACATTTACATGTGGATTAGAAATATCTATGCTTTACTCATAACTCCTGGCTGCTCTAATCTCTCTTCCTTGGAGAGGCCTTAATGATTTCTATGGGTGTGGAGCTGGGGGAAATCTCAAAAGGTTTCCCAGCATCCTCCATCTCTCCCCACCCAAACTCCACCTGGCTTAGTTAAATCCAGTTTGTTTAAAGGGCCCCCTCCCAGGAAAGCTTTCCTTGTTAGATTTTGGAGTTCCCTCCAGACCAAAGAGATGGATTTTACCAAACCTGGCAAGTACACAGGCTCTCAGTCACTATCTGTTTATGAGAAACTAGGCAAGAGAGTAACACTGTGAAGGTGAAGACATCTTTAATATCAAACGTATTTCACCAGCTTCACAATACCTTTAAGCAGATGCAAATGGGAAACCCAGCACTAAATCAATGGACCTTAAGCTTCTGATCCCAGGTGCAACTGGCTTTCCCTCCGTACCCTCCCCCGACCCTGCATTTTTTTTATTATGGTAAAGTAGTCACAACAAAATTTATCATCTTAACCATTATTAAGTGTAGAGTTCAGTGGTATTAAGTATACTCATGTGGTTGTGTAGCCATCACTACCATCCATCTCCATCACCCTTTTCATCTTGCAAAACTGGAATTCTGTACTCATCAAACAACAATTCCCCACTTTCCCTTCCTCCTAGTTCCTAGCAACGACTATTCCAACTGGCTTTTGCCAACATATGTGACCCACTCACAGATTTTAGGGAAAAAAGTAGATTTTTTTTTTTTTGTCTTTTCTATTCATCTATTTAGTTTTCTTAAAAGACTAAAGTTGGACTCCAGCTCAGAGTCTTCTATCCCTAGATGACCCAGTGGATTCATTATTTGCTCTTTCCTTGTGTGTCTCTGAACTCAGTTTAAGACCTCGCAGCAGGACATACCGCTCTGCAGTTTGCTGCCAGTTCCTAAACTCCTTTTCCCAACAGATGGAAGAGGAAGAAGGTGAGGGGAGACAATATGCTCAGAATCAGCTGAAAAGAGTTATGGACAGGATGGCTGCCGGCCAGCAGGAACTCAAGAAGTAGGGAAGGCTCCCTGCAAACCTACTATGGTTTCTGAACCCCATCAGCCTGCCTGATCCTTCCCACACACTGCTGTCTTTCATGGAAGCAATCAGAGCACACTGAATGGGGAGATAACTGTGTCTCATCCATAATGGGCCGTCAGCAAATATCTGCTGAACTGAACTGAATGGAATTAATTCATTGGCCATATCTCTAGTTGGCATAGATAAAATCAGAAAGATCCAACTTCCTCACCTGAATACTAAATGGCATGTGACTATGATTGTCACTTTGAGAAAATAAGATAGGATATTCTATCCTATAACAATTGTTACAACAGTGAGCACTTACAACGTGCCTGGCTTGTTGCTAAGTGCTTTATAGTCATTAGCTCATTTAAGCCTCTTAGCAGTGGCTACTCTTAAATATTGCTACATAGGAATGGCAGGGGGTGGAAGGGGGTTGTGGAATGGCTCATCATGAACTCATTTGCATAGGTACTTTTACATAAGATTGAGGAAATGTCAATCATTATACATCAAAGAATGGAGGTTTGCTGATTTAAAAAAAAAATTGTATATGGGACAAGACTTCTATCAACCCTTCTTGTTACCAAAGTAGATTTTATTGTTTTCATTGTAAAGATGAAGAAACTGAGGCTTTCAGCAGTTGAAAAATTTATTAAAACCACACGACTAGTGCACGGTGGTACTGACAAGACCACAGCCCAAGTCTGTCTTCCTCTAAGCTATAAATGTATAGTTGTTTAGTCATATATAGAGGAAGTCAAAGAAGTTTACAGACCTGACTTGAAGAAATACTTTTGGTTGTTGATATTGTTTTCAAAAATAAGGTCAGAAAAAAATGTAAAAGTTTTTAAAAAGAGATGAAATGAAGTGAATATTACTGATGAGCTTCTAAAGAAAGTTTTATGGTATAGTATTCTGGTGGCACAGGGAAAAAGAAGTCCCATTCACAAAGTATACGCTCCTGCTGAGAAATCAAAATGCCAATTGCACAAAGCCTACTACTCTATTAAAAAAAAAAAAAAAGAAAGAAAAGGCTACCACTCTATTAAAAAAAAAAAAAAAGCAACATACCTACAGGGAGATATCCAGGGAAAGGACAGTCCCTGACATGAGCAATGCCCACTGTCAATCTGAGGAGGGAGACAGCACAGTGTGAAGGCTGGATTCAGCCAGACCTAGCTTCAAGTCCTGGCTCCGTTACTTTTTAGTTGTAAGACTTGATCAGGTTGCTTGGCTTCTCTGAGCCTCAACTTCCTTTCCTCTACAGATGAGCAAAATATTTTCTACCTTATAGGATTATTGTAGGGGTTAATGAGATCATTCATTCATTCAGAGATGATTTGTTGAGCATTGGTAGGTGCCAGGCCCAAAACCTCTTAATGAAATAATATATGTAAATAGCTTTCCTCTGTACCTGGCATATTAATAGATACTCATTAAATAGTAGCTAGTATTGTTATGTATCCCCTTAGGTAAAGAAAAGGAATATTGATAAATGCAATAAAACTGCATTGTATGTCATGGTTCATTTCTGTATCGCTTTGGGTCAAATATATTTCCAAAAGGCCAAGCGTAATAAAATTTAGGTACACATTCCGATTACTAAAGGGGATAGCATACTGTCTACACCCTGGCCAGGATGAGGGAGTAGAATGGGAAGAAGGAATCTGGGTACTTTCTCAATACTTCCTGTTCTCCCTATGACCAGGGGCCAGGAGCACCGCTAATATAACACTCCCCTTTGGTTCTGTGGTTGGCCATGGTGATAGAGGAGCTGGCTACAGGGCCAGGTCTGTCTGTGCTGGTTGCTTTAGGTCTACCAGAGGCAGGAAGAAAGTGGACTTTGATAGGGGTGTTATGTAAGACCTGTACAACCAAAGCAAACACACCTCATCAGGCTGGTTCAGGTCCTTGAGGTGCAGCTCTTGAATAAGATACTCCACGGTGCGCACATGATTGCTCTGAGCGGCAAAGTGGAGGGCATTCATTCTATCCTGAAGAGAGATACACAGTGACCTCAGAACTTCCTCTCTCCTGCAAAGGGAGAGAGGCAAGAGCTTTTGTCCAGGTGTGACCAACATACCTACTTGACTCTTAGCTCTCTGATCTGCTCCAGCTTTAACCAGCATGAGCATGATCTCAAGGCTCCCAGACCAGGCTGCAAGGTGAATTACTGTCAAGCCGTGCTTCCCCAAGAAGACAGAAAAAGAGAATCTGTTACTCTGATGAGCTGCAGCATACTGTCTCATCAACAAAGGCCAAATTAATGCTAGACTGTTGAAAACTAAGACAGAGAATTTAATACGCATCAAAGGTGATATTTTGGTTCTATGGGGAAACATGGGTATATTTAATAAGTGGTGCAAGGCACATGTGGTTCTCCATCTGAAAGAAAATGAAATGAAACACTATATTACACCACATTCACAAACAATAAGCGATTAGAATAAAATCCAGACTATAATGTACAGTCTCTTAATCCACAGTTAGAATAGATAGATAATAAACAAAGTCAATTACAAATGACAGATTTTTTTAAATGTATCCTTTTTTTTGAGATGGAGTCTCACTCTGTCACTAGGCTGGAGTACAATGGTGCAATTTCAGATCACCGCAACCTCTGCCTCCTGGGTTCAAGCGATTCTCCTGCCTCAGCCTCCTGAGTAGCTAGGACTACAGGTGCGTGCCACTATGTCCAGCTAATTTTTGTATTTTTAGTAGAGACAGGTCAGGTTTTCATCATGTTGGCCAGTATGGTCTCGATCTCTTGACCTCATGATTCGCCTGCCTTGGCCTCCCAAAGTGTGGGGATTACAGGCATGAGCCACCGCACCTGGTCTTTAATGTATCTTTAATAAAGATGAACGGCTATGCTACAATGCATGAAGCATATTTACACATGGAGAAGGAAAAGACAAACTCATGGAAAAATGGACAGAGAAAGGAAATGAAAATGATTATTGTTTAAGTATCTGCCAATATCAATCAAAACTGAAAATACAACCAGCAATCCCACCCCTGTGAATCTATCCCATGAAAATAAAGATTTCCGTACCTAATGTTATATTTACAAGGATATTAATTGTAATAAAAACTGGGAGCAAGATAAAAGCCTATGAACATTGAGAATGCTGAATAAGAATAATCAGCCTATATAATGCAAGCATAAAAATAATGAATTAGTGCTACAACAATTGACTTGGAAAGATTTCCATGAGCTTTACTAAATATGGAAAATAATATGGAGAATAAATGTGACATAATCCCATTTGTTAAAAAGGAGTGATTAACAAAACCCTGTACATGTATATGTATGTATCTATATCTTATCTATAGGTGGGCTGGTGGGTAGGTAGGTAGATTGATTAATATAGATATGACTACGTGAACAGCAGAAAAGTACAGAAATAAACACACATGTCTCAGTTACCAGAGGAAGAGAGGTACATAAAGGTGAAAAAAAAAGTTATTAAAAGGATCTCACTTACATAGACACTACTTAAAAGATTTCATTTATGCAAAATTATATACATTTATGTGTGTGTAAACACGTGTGCACAAAGTTGTTAGACTGAAAGAGACCAGGACTTACTGACCTGTAGGGACGCTGTGGGCAGGTGTATACCAAAGAAGCAGAAAGAAAAGTGAGTGTGGAAGGAAGCACAGCCAGCAGTTAACATTGGCTATTTTAGGAAGGTGAGACTTGAGGGAAATAAGCATAAAAATGCATCTGCACCCCGGGCCCTAAGTTACAGAAGCAGTGTAGGGCAGACACTATGAGCCTGATCTTCAGGATCAAACAGAACTGATCTCAAATTCTGGCCACTTTCTGTCACTTTCAAGTACGGGAACCTTGGTGAACTTAGTTCTACCTCTCAGCTTCAGCTTCCTTGTCTGCAAACTCGCGCGTCTGCTTTTCTGTTTCCTTTGGCCTCATGAAAAAGTAATCCATTTCCTCAGTACAAGTGCCTATCCAAAGTAAGCTCTCACACTGCATTTTATTTGCCTGTTCAAATCAGTTTTGTTTGTGATCTAGGAAACAGTTTGTGAGATGTACACAGTATGAGTAAATACATAAGGAATGAGGGCCTGCGGTACACTTCTATTTGTGAAATGCATCAGCCTTTTGGCATTTATTTTGGCTCCCCCACCAAGTTGCATTAATGTATTCTCTTATTCTCAGTAGAATTCATGTTGGGAAAATAAAACAGCAAGTCCAAATTATTGAGGCTTAACTCTAAATTGGTGATTTTCAACTGGGGGTGATTTGTCCCCAGGAAACATTTGGAAAAATGTATGGAGATATGTTTTACTGCCATGCTGGGGTGGGGGCAGGTTAATTTGGTACCTAGTGATAGAGGCCAGGGATGCTGCCAAACGTCCTAACAATACACGGGGCAGCCCCAACCACAAAGAATTATCTGGCCCAAAATGTCAAGAGCACCGCTGTTGAGAAATCTCTTAATGTGCTTATCCTATCAAGTTTATATTTATACACACTAGATGGTGAGTTGGTCCATCTGTAGATTTCCAATTCTAACACGAAGAAAGCTCTTCATTTCTGGACTCTTTGACCCAAAGAGCAATGATGTACAATGACTAACTACTTGATGTTCTTCAAAACATGTTTCCTAAATACAATTCCACCTCTTAATTTGGCCTTCCCTACAAGTCAATGCTTTATATTCAGCAATACTAAATCTGCTTTCACATATAAAGGAGACCAGAAACATTTGAAACAGGTGACAAATCACACTTTGACAGGAGATCTATTTTTTCCCTAAGAGGTCATTCCTGATTTCAAAGCAGACTACATGTTAAAATTCCAAGCTCTGATCACAAAATCTAAAACCTGGGAATTCAAGCTGCAAACAACTAACACCACAAATTCAGAGTGGAGCCATTGTTCCTCAGAGGCAATGAATCACAGCTCACAGATGCAAACTCCCCGAGAAGCACTTCCATAAAACAAATTCTTCTGATATGAAACTGGCATGCCTGAGACTACTTAAGACTATGTGTCATCAATTACACTCACGGTTGGCTCATGAAGCTTTGTAAAGTATACATTCCCCACCGATCAGTGACAGTCTGTCCTCGTTGCCAGTCTCATCCTAAGTGAGGTCAATAATTTCCTCTGGGGAACACTTACGTATTAGGAGCTTCCCAGAGATAAGAAGCTCTGTGAACAGATGTTTTTATCCTCTGAGCATCACTTGCACCCCAACCTGGGATCCTTTACTCCTGTCGGGAGTAAGAGCCTCCATTTATCTAGTCTGCCTCTTCCCAGGACTCAGGGGTGCCACTCACTTTGGTCCCTAGCATGCAGTGCCTTGAATGGTACTCAGCTGGTACAGTCTTTGTCCTTGCGCCCCAGAGAGACTGTAGGCCCTGCAAAGCCACGACTCTGTCTCATATCAGTGCGTCCCAAAAACAATCACCTGGAAATTTTTTTTAAATTGCAGATTCTGATGCAAGCCAGGGGCGGGGCCCGAGATCCTGCATTTCTAACAAGCTTGGAGGTGATGTGCATGCTTCAAGTCCTGAGACCACACTTTAAACAGCAAGAACTTCTGTCTAGTTGAATCCTCAGTAATTGACACTGAGACTTACCCACAATGGCCACTGAATAAATACTGATAGTGAAGGGGATCAACTGTTGGCTCTTTGCAAATGGTGTTAGAAGACGTCAAACTCAAGGCTCATAATTCAGATAAAGAAACTGCCAGATTGGGTCAAACAGGACTTTGCTTGAATTATGAAAAACATTTTACTAGTTGTGGAGTAATGCCACTGTAGATGATTTAATCAGTTATAAACATATGTAACTTAGTAAACCTTCAAAGCAGGAAAAAGAGACACAGCAGGAATTACTATATTTCTCACCTGACATTATTTCAATCTTCAAGCAAAGTTAAGAGAAACTGAATCATGCTTGAGAGACAAGGTAATACAAATATATGTTTAGAAAAACCTCAGGGAAGACAGGTTGGTGAAATCTCTCTCCATCATTTCAGGAATAATTGGCTTGTACTCTGACACAAACCTATCCTATATTTAATATATTAGAAACATGGCAATCTTCAGATAATACTGTTTAAAAGAAAAGATGCAATCTGATCTGGGCACATATCTAACCTGGATACATAGGTATTTGCTGTATGGTTCCCTCTACTTTGATATGTTAAAGATTTGGGGTTATGGTTCTGGCTGAAACGAAGTAAACACAGTCCACTCTGTGTCTCCCACGGAAACAAAATCTCTGGAAAGAATGCATGGAACGTACACCTACTATGTCACACACATTTTACATTAAAAATTTTTTTAAAAGAAGGCATGGAACAGCTGAGGACTTTGTAAATAGTAACAGGCGGATTGGGGGGAAAAATCAGAACTCAAAGTAAGAACAATCCTGCAGTGGCTTTCCTGATTTTTTTTTTTTTCCTCCCATACCTTCCAACTTGGACTCAAGGCAGTACACATCATGGAACTGTGCCCTGGGCACACTCAGAAAGGTTTCCAAGAGAAGCTCTTGTTCTAAGGAGGAGAAGGGAGCCCCTATAGAACAGAGAAAGTAGGGGAAATTCTCTGCTTCATTTTTCTCCACTGGCCCTGCCCCCTCCTCCGAGCCAAGCCCTACTCTCAAAGCTACAATTTGACAGTGGTAGGGTAGCAACAGTGGCTGGGCAAGCACCTTCAACTCTGACAGAGGAGAATCTTTCTCTCTGGCCAGAGGAACTGTGGTCATAAAGCAGGGTGCAGGGAGAATCCATGTCTCTTTTTTTCTCTCGTTACCCTCCTCGACGTGGTCCTGGAGGCAGACTTTCTTGTAGAAAGTACACAGCAGAGCTGGGAGACTACAACCTTGACTTTCCAGCCAGACGACCAGGAAAAGAAGGCCGGGAGCTGGAAAATGAAGGGGAGCTGATCATGGACAGGATGGAGCTTGAGAAAGGGATGGCATAAAGTTGTGTGTGTGCTCCTAGGCTTACCCCTGAGCTATACAGGGACAGACGCTAAACAGCATGATGAAGGCTTGGAGAACTGAGCTATGGAATACACACTACCTAGGTTTCAGACTGGTCCCTGGATGGTACACACATGGGACAAATCTGAATAGAACTACGCAGGTTTTGAAAACTGAAGTAAGGGCTAGGCGCAGTGACTCATAGCTGTAATCCCAGCACTTTGAGAGGTTAAAGTGGGAGAATTGCTTGCAGCCAGGAGTTCAATAACAGCTTGGACAACATAACAAGACCCTGTCTCTACAAAAATAAAAAATAAAAAAATTAGCTGAGCGTGTTGGCACATGCTTATAATCCGTGCTACTCGGGAGGCTGAGGTGAGAGGATCGCCTGAGCCCAGGAGGTCAAGTCTGCAGTGAGCCGTGATCATGCCACTGCATTCCAGCCTAGGCAACAGAGCGAGACCCTGTCTCAAAAAATAAAAATGAAAAAGAAAAGGAAAAGAAAACTGAAGTGACATTGGTGTCAAATGGTGTTGAAACAATTGATCAGGTCATCCATAGGCAAAAAAAGAAAAAGAATAGAGAATCTCAACCTACTTTATTTCTACCTTATATGTACTACAATTAACTCAAAGTGGACCATAGATACAAATATAAAACACAAGGGTTTAAAACGTTAGAAGAAGAATATGAGAAATCTCAGACCTTGAGTTTGGCAATCATTTTTAGATATAACACCAAAACAGGATTCATTTTTTTTCAAATAGGTAAACTGTACTTCATCCAAATTTAAAACTTTTGCTGTTTGAAAAACACTGAAAAGACAGAGTACAGACTGTGAGACATATTTGCAAGCCAAAAAATATTTGTATCTAACAAAGGACTTGAATCCAGAATATATAAAGGACTCAACAGTAAGAAAACAAAAAATCAATTTTTTTTAAATGCTCAGATTTGTGAACAAACACATCACCAAAGAAGATCTGCAAATGATAAATACCACATGAAAAGATGTTCAATGTCATTAGCTATTAGAGAAATGAAAATTAAAACCACAATGAGATGCCAACACACCTGTTTGAACGGTTGAAATGAAGGGGGAGAAAACAACAATACCAGGTGCTGATGAGAATATGGACAAGCGGAACGCCGTTGCTGGTGGAAAGGAAAATGGCATAGTTCTGGCGTGTGCTGCGTTTTACGCCGCACGAGGGTTTAAAGACCTAAGAGGGAACAGCGGGGGGATAAAGAAAGACACACACACAGACACAGAGAAAGCTGGGCCAGAGGGGGGTCTGAAAAGCTGATGATGTTAGTCTTTTCAGCCCCGACCTGCCTTAGAGTATTTTATTTTATGTTTACAAAGCATATAGCAGAGGGAGGATGCAGTTACTTAGAACAGCCTGTGATTATAATTCTTACACTTCGGTTAACATACTTTAGCTAACAACTATTTTGCAGCAAGGTTAGTGAGAGCTGGTTATCTTTTTCTAGGCCTCTCTGTTTTTCTCTGAGACATACACATTTTCCTACTATGGTTTTACTTTTCTGAAGTTTACTGAAAGTTCCCAGCAGCCTTGCTGCTGATCCCCCAGAGGGGGTGGGCTACTCTGGCTCTCTATACATAGTTACTCTCAAAAACAGTCTGGCAGCTCCTTGTAAAAGTTACACATACACTTACTATATGACCCAGTAGTCTCACTCCTAGGTATTTACACTAGAGAAATGAAAACTTATGCTTACACAAATACTTATACATGAATGTCTATAGCAGCTGTATTTGTAATAATCAAAATCCGGAAAAAGAAACACCTTAACGTTCTTCAATTGGTGAATGGATCAATAAATGATGGTACATCCATAAACTGGAATAATTTTAACAATAAAAAGGGAGGAGTTATTGATACATACAAAAATATGGATGAACTTCAGAAGCATTTCGCTGAGTAACAGAAGCCAGTCTCAAAAGGTCATTTATGTGTTATTCTCAGGAAGGCAAAACTACAGAGACAGAAAACAGACCAGTGGTTGCTAGTGTGGGAGATGGTTACAAAGAAGCGTCATGAGGGAATATTTTGGGTGATGCAATTGTTGTGCATTTTGATTATTTATAGTTACACAAATTTATACAAATATTTTTGTTTGTTTGTTTTTCTAAGACAGAGTCTCTCTATGTCTCCCAGGCTGAAGTGCAGTGGTACAATCTTGGCTCACCGCAGCCTCCACCTCCCAGGTTCAAGCAATTCTCCTGCCGCAGCCTCCTGAGTAAATGGGATTATGGGCACCCACCACCACATTTGGCTAATTTTTGTATTTTTAGTAGAGACGGGGTTTCACCACATTGGCCAGGCTAGTCTTGAACTCCTGACCTCAAATGATCCACCTGCCTCAGCCTGCCAAGTGCTGGGATTACAGGCATGAGCCATAGCACCTGGCCACATACAAAGTGTTAAAAACTCATAGAATTGTGTACCAAAAAGGAAAGTTAATTGTACAGTTTATTAATCTAAAAGTGAAAGTAAAATAAAAGGATACTGTATCAAGTTTTCAGTGTAGAAATAAGAATACACTTGGATAATCTTGTCCAATGTGTCTTAACCAATGTGTCTTTTGTAGGCTAATGTTGCAAATCCTAAAATATATGTTCTTTAATTACTACAGCCATTAATACAACTAGTTACACTCACAGTCAGAGTTCTTTCAGTGCCAATTTTTAATTCTGGTTTGCCAATGTAACAAACTACTTGCCCACCAATACCAGTGCAATAAACTAGAAAGGGATGTGCCCCATTGGTGACACAAAGAGAAACTCTCATCACTGTCGAGTCTAGGTGTTGTGTATGATTGCCAACAAGACCAACAAGATGACCATTTGGTATTATGACCTCAATCATTTATCTTCCAGAAATGTGCAAGGTACATACTAAACCCAGACCTTGTGAGACAGGAAGGTAAAGCAATGCTGAACCTTATCCTCCAAGAAGTCACAGTCCAGAAAGAAAAGAGAATACCTCTGTGGGAATCTTCTGAACAATTTAAGAATCATGGTCCATTGTATTAATTAAGAACCAAGAACTTTAGAACAATGCTATCATCTTGTTCTGCAACGTGATGATGAACAGGATGTTGGGTCTCTTCTGTGGGTTTCCTTGTGCTATGGTATAGTATTAAATGAAGGTGGGAAAAGTAGGTGAAAAATCCCTGGTGTGGGTTTTGAAATCTAGGCAGATAAATAGTTACGCTAACAGCATGGTCTCTGGAATGAGACAGGCTAGGTCCAAATCCTGCCTCTACCCTTCTTAGACATAATTTTTTGGGCAGGATATAGTTAATCTCTCTGTTTCAGATACTCATCTGTAAATGAGTTACTATAATTCATTACTATAATAATACTTTTCTTACAGGGGGAGGATTATTATCAAAGTCTTCCAACTTGTGCCTGGCACCTAGCACCTGTTTAATAAGCCTTATTTATTATCAGAGAGTTCATAGGGCAAAGTCAATATTTAATGTCTCTGAAGCCAATTAGCTTCTTCCACATCCCAGATTATACTCTGGGCAATGATCTTCTTTTTACAAACGCATATTATTGGCCATAGGTCAAAATGAGAAAATAAGCAAAACCCCAAGTCCCATAAGTAATGGGTAAACAATTTAGTTCCCAAATACAAAGAGCAGATATGTGTATATTCTCTAAAGAGACCTTTCCAAAACGAGCACTCCCAATTAAAATATTTTGTGTGTATGTGAAGAAAAGATGTCTGGAGTGATCAGATTCTCCCTGTCCATTGGTTATGCTCCAGCTTGTCCTACTCAATATGAGCTTACCTTATCAGCAACATCCACTCTGGCCTTGTGTTTAAGCAAGAAATCCACTGCAGATAAATGATTTCTCCCCACTGCAAAATGCAGGGCTGTGCGGTTCATCTGCAGAAGCATAATTTATGTTTTTAGTCATCTGATCATTATTTAGCCTTTTTAGGTTTCCTGTTTCTTGAATGGCCATATTTTTCTAACAAGTGTTTCTATTTTGAGAGTTTGGCTCCACTCTTTGCCTTTGAAAGTTATGAGAAGTGTGTCCAGCAGAATTCTGCCTTCATTATGAGATAACATCAGAGAATTTGCCAATCCACTGAAGGACTCGCCTCACGCTGAAATTCTTGTTTCAGCTTATATTGTATTATATTGTAACATTATGTCGTAGCAATATAAGGGGTTTTGCCTAGAAAGTAAAAGTTGGATTCTCCCCTTATGCAATCATTAATAATGGTAAAAGTTTCTGCTTAGAATATATTAATAATGCATAGCAAAAATTTACCCAGAAGTTCAATCCATTCATGTTCGTTCTTCTGTAAGTGTTTGGACTGCAAATTTTACTGAAGCAAATAAAGTCCTTCTAAAAGGAAGAAGGAAGGGAGAAAGGAATAAAAGGAGCAAGGAAAAGAGGAAGGAAAGAAAGAAAGAGAAAGGCAGAGAAAGAAAGCTATGACTATCTTTTGCTCCAAAGGAAAGTCAACATGGTGCTCCCGGGATGCCCACAGACAGTCTAATCCATTTCAGAAAATGGAAGTTGTGCTTGGAAGTGATATGTGCCACATTTCTCATATTCTAGACACTGTTTTTGCTCCCAAAGAAGATGCCTGGGCATGGCTTTACTATTCTTTGTTACACATAAGTAATTTTAAAAAATGAGAACTGTTTAAATATTTGATTATTTTGATAGTGTCAACCTAAGTAATAAGAGAGACTTTCAAAAGAAAGGTATTTATTTGGGAATAAAGCATTGCAACAGAAATATGCATATTATAGCAAACTCTGTGTGTATTTAGAAAAGTAAAAGAAGACAAAGCTTTTTAAAGGAAAAAAGTGAAGAGGACTACATAATTGTTTTTGAAATAATTATCCTTTGCTACAAAGTTCAATAACCAGCTGACGCCAGTCTGAGATTAGAAAGGCAGTTGCTGGGCAGATGTCCTTGCAGAAGTATTTTTTGTGCAAGGCTGTGATGGCCTTTGTGCAAGGTTGTGGGTTTGCAGGCTTTTGTGATAGTTTTTGTTATCAAGTATACAAGCATGAGAACCCTGGCTTCATGGCCTTCCCCAGCTCTGTTTGTCAAGGTTTTCTTAGTATCGGTGACCCCATTTTGATTCTGAAAACTTTTACAGTTGCTAACTCAGTGATAAAATAAGTTTGACAAAACATGAGTTATGATTGGGCACAGTGGCTCATGCCTGTAATCCCAGCACTTTGGGAGGCCGAGGTGGGCAGACCACCTGAGGTCAGGAGTTTGAGAACAGCCTAGCCAACATGGTGAAACCCCGTAACTAGTATAAATACAAAAATTAGCCAGGCATGGTGGCGCACATCTGTAATCCCTGTTACTAGGGAGGCTGAGGCAGGAGAAATTGCTTGAACCCGGGAGGTGGAGGTTGCAGGGAGCCAAGATTGCGCAACAGCACTCCAGCCTGGCAACAGAGCAAGACTCGATGTCTCAAAAAACAACAAAATACAAAAAACAAAAAAACCCATGAGGTATATGGCTCCACTATGTCAACTTTGGGCTTATAAGCTCCACTATTAACTTGATTTGTGAATAAGGATGCAAGCCAAAATTGCACCCAAAATAATTCAGTAAAATTATTTATAATTTAAAAATCTCCATCATCACAGATTTTAAGGAACTCTACAAGTAACCATGTCAACAATTTTCTGTAAACAGTAAACAGATATCATTAGAAAGTATAATACAGTTCATTAGTTCATAATAATTTGCCACACTGTAAGTTAAAGTGTATTAGATTGTACTCTCTCTCCAAGTACTTTAATCAACTTTTAAAAATGTTTAAAATAACAAAGTTATATATGGAAAAATGTTAAATGGTTTGAATAATATACTGGAGAATCTATTTCCTGCTACTTGGAAAAGTGATTTTTGCTTCACTTCCTCCCACAATTAACCTTCCATGGTCACAATAATCTTCAAGGATATCTATCCACAAAAAATTTTGAAACTATGCAAATATTCCCTTCAAAGAGACTTACTTCTTTTGTTTTCCCTCCTTTGCATTTTTTCTCCTTTTTGCCCTTCCTTGCTTTCTTGATTTTTTTTTTCTTTTTGTACCTAAAATTGTTATGCTAAAAAATTTTGCTGTTTTCCTGTTCTAGGATATCTATGGAACATGAACACTATATACACCCATAACACATCACACACACGCCATTATACACACAGAAATACCAGTCCCCACACTCATCCCCACACAGAAGCACAAACCGCCCCCCACGTGCACAACATTCTTCCACTGCACATGCTACATGATTTCAGATTCTGCAGCTTCAGTTTCTAGGACCTTACTGCCTGGGACAGACATAGGTTTTGTGGAACCTGAGTTTAGACTATTTAGGAGTCCTCTTTAAAGCCAGAGTCAGAAAGCTTAACTAATTGCAGTTAAAATGCCCTACCTTTTTCAGATTTTACAAAGTTATATAGTCATAGGAACATATTACTAGAGTCCTCTCAGTGCCTTACAAGGGGACTGTGCATACAAGGGCCCTGAAGCTTATACTTCATTTACCATTAAATCCACCTCTGCCACACCCACCTTGAACCACTCCACAAATTGTCCTAAGCAATTGACACAGCCTTCAACTTTCACTTTGATAAACCTGGCCTCAAAGGACTATCTTGTTAAAGAACAAGTAAGAGCCAGGTTTTAGATAACATCTCATTGCCCAAGAGGTAAATGCACTACATTTCAAAACCAGTACAATGAAAATCCACACATGCCTTTAGATTTTCAATTTGGAGAAACAGAACCACAAACGACATAATTGGCAAGAAAACAACCCAGATTATATAGCAAAAAATGTTCTGCCTTTCCAGAATGTGTGAGGCCAAACTGACCCACAGGCGACAATCCAGGACCAAGTCCAGGCCTGTAACCCTGACAGCTGGCTTTACTGCCCACCCACAGACTTTGCATAGATATGCATGAAGATTCTGTGCACTCCCCCTCTTGTAAGAGGAATTAAAACACCCAGAGCCTCTTCCACTGTTTGACTCCACTTTTTAGATTAAACACCCTGGAAGATCTCTCTTATCTCAGCCAGCACCATGATTTTTATTTTTACTATTATTTCAGGTGTCCCGTGTAACCCAAGCCATCACTGGAATAGTCACTTGCCACATTTATGACTTCTACTCACATTGTTCACAGCATTAATGTTAACCTTCTTTTCAAACAGCTTCTCCATGAGATCCAAGTTATTGCTTTTAGCAGCATTCTGAAAGCTTCTTTCATTTGGCAGTACTGAAAGAAAGCAAGAAAGCATGACTGAGGGAATTGAAGGAGGCCAAAGAGAAAGCATATTTCATAGGACAAACCTTGCAACAACAGCCTTGAAATGAAACAACAGCCTTGAGTCTTTCACATTTTGCTATTTCATTTAGGACACGGGAACTTTGCTTCGGTATCTTATAAAACTGTAGTATCAAGATTCCACTTTCTCCTCATGCTGCAAGGGTTTCCACACCCTTAAAAATGTTCCTGGCCCCAAACAAAACATTATTCATGAGGACCACCCTGAAGTCAGCATTGTGGTGTCTGGCTTAGAAGGTCAGAAGGTGGCCATAGAATTCCCAGGGGGTATTGTTTATAAAAAGCCTTGTACAAGATTAGACAGGGAGGGGTCCAAATGCTCCATACAGCTTACAGAGATTAAACTGTTGTCTTCTGAACTCCATACAGACATCAGGCCTGCATGAACAAAATTTCAAAATGCAGCCTGTCATACATACAGACACAAAGGTAAATGGGATGAGAATGTTTTATTCTCATTTGTATAAAAAGACATAAAAGTAGATTCACATCTACTATAAACATCACATTTCACACACATATACACATTCAGATGGTAGGCTTTATTAACTATGATAGAGAAGATTACAGGATTTGAGGTTTTTGTTATGTAGGGGAGTAGAGGGCTCTCATAGGACAGCCAAGCATCAGGGGATAAGACCAGAATTGAGGTTAAGTAGGAGTCAACCACAGACCATCTCCAAAAAGAAAGGCTCATAAGAGAGGTTTTTGTAGATGTGCTGCTGAGTAGTTTCCCAAGGGTTTGTTTGTTTTTTAAATGATACCATCATGACATTCAATGTTCCCCAAATTTTTGCTGAAGCAAAGACCCTTCAGAATACTGCAAAGTCCAATCAAAGACCAAGGAGTATCTTCTTGGGAAATATTGTCATGGGCTGAATTGCGTTTCTCCAAAATTCTTTTATTTATTTATTTATTTATTTTTCTTTTTTTACTTTTTTTTTATTGCATTTTAGGTTTTGGGGTACATGTGATGAACATGCAAGATTGTTGCATAGGTACACACATGGCAGTGTGCTTTGCTGCCTTCCGTCCCCTCACCTGTATCTGTCATTTCTCCCCATGCTATCTCTTCCCACCTCCCCACCCCCCTGTCCCTCCCCCATTTCCCCCCAACGGACCCCAGTGTGTAGTGCTCCCCTCCCTGTGTCCATGTGTTCTCATTGTTCAACACCCGCCTATGAGCAAGAATATACAGTGTTTGATTTTCTGCTCTTGTGTCAGTTTGCTGAGAATGATGGTTTCCAGGTTCATCCATGTCCCTACAAAGGACGTGAACTCATCGTTTTTGATGGCTGCATAATATTCCATGGTGTATATGTACCACATTTTCCCTATCCAGTCTATCATCGTTGGGCATTTGGGTTGGTTCCAGGTCTTTGCTATTGTAAACAGTGCTGCAATGAACATTCGTGTTTCTCCAAAATTCTTATGTTGAAGTCCTAACCCCAAGTGAGAGCGGAGATCCCTCCCCTGCTTGTTCCTACTCACGCTGCATATGAACTAGCAAATCAATGAAGCCCAAAGATTGTAAGGTCAGATGTCCAGCCAATGGACAATGACATAGTTTCACCTCAGTTTCTCCTTTAGCATTGTAAGCCTATAAAAGGAGAAAGAAGCTGCTTCTCAGGGAGCTCGGTAAATGAGGCTCTAGCCCCCCCACAGCTCCCAGCCAAATAAAAAGCCACTTCCTTCCCCAGTTGGGTGGTCAAAAGGTTTGTGTCTCACTTTTCTTGCTTCATGAGTACCTCAAAATGTTGCCCATATTTGGAGATAAAGCCTTTAAAGAGGTAATTAAGGTAAAATGAAGTGATGCGAGGGGGCTCCAATCTGATATGATTGGCATCCCTGTAAGAAGAGAGATTAGAAACACACACACACACACACACACACACGCACGCACACACACACACGCACACACACAGAGGGAAGACCGCATGAAAGCAGGGAGAAGGTGGCCATCTGCAAGCCAAGGAGAGAGGCCTAAGAAGAAACCAAGTTTCCCAACATCTTGATCTTGGACTTACAGCCTCCCCAACTGTGAGACAGTAAGTGTCTGTGGTTTGAGCCATCCAGTCTGCTGTACTTTGTCATGACAGCCTGAGCAGACTCAGATTCACATGTTCATTCTTTCTATTACTTGGATCCTTTTCTTCCTTCCTACCCCGACTCTTGTCACTATTCTAGGTGACTTTAACCTCCTCATAGATGATTAATCCAACACCTTTGCCTCTTAGTTTCCTGACTCTGTCACCTCTGATCATCTTCACCAGATCTGGCCTCAGTCATCCAATTTCAGAGGCACATTCCTGAACTAATTATCACTCAAACCGCACTACCTCTGAAATCTTGACTTCCAGAATCCGATTCCTTGACCACAACTTCTCATCCATTCAGCTCAGCTGCTCTAGTTCTCCAAGTCCAGAAATTCTGCAACCTTATTAAGTCCTCCAATCCACAGTTCTAACCCTTTTTCATATTCTTCATCCCCATATCCTTATTTCTCCCCTTACCATGTTTAAGAGTTCATGGTGCCAGACTGTTTTTGCTGCTATAACAAAATACCTGACTGAGTAATTAAAAAAGAACAGAGATTTACTTCACACATTCAGACCATACCACATGGTCCATCTATGAAATCACTTCTATGCAAACACTTACCTCCCTCACCAATCTTTTCTTCCATTAGACTAGTTCGTCAGAATCCTAATTCTGAGACCAAATCCAACTGCTACTTGCTTTATTTCTGTATCTGAACAGCTAAATGGTTCTGGAGAAAAACTGCACAGACATGCTGTGGTAGACATTGCTAGTGTTCATCAATATCTGCTTCTTCTCTTCTACCTGGTCACATGGGTAAGCCCATATCCCAGCCTGGATACAGCTAGATGAGATCTATCCAATGGACTAAAAGCAGAAGTGATGGCATGTCACTTTGAGGCTGAGTCAGTGAAAAGCCTGTGTCACCCTCCAGGTGTCTTTTTCTTGCCTGAACCCTGGAAGTCATGTGTATAAAGGAAGGGGTCATGAGATAGTGGTACCTCCATCAACTTGGTATTGGGAGACAGTTCTCCCTGGGTCTGTCACATTTCTTCACATCTTCTAAGCAAAAGCATTGACTGGCTTTGTTCTTTACTATCTTTTCAAGGATGTTTGTAGAGTGAAAAGCCTTTGAAAATAGAGATAATATCTTCCTCTGGAGCAAAGGGCAGGTCTGCTTGCAGCCTTTGAAGAAAGCAATGATAAGCATGCTTACTGACTATTACAAAAGTTTTGGGTTCCGTAAATGCAGGATTTTTCTGTAACACAACCCACTGTGTGGGCAGGTGTCACTGGGCATTCTTTACATTTCCCTGTAGGAATTGGGGCTTGGAGAACTGACACAAATGCTAACACTCTGCCTACTGCTACTGCTGTGCGTAATGAAATCCATCATTTCTAATCCAAAAGTGTCTTCTGCCAGCATCTCTATCACCTAGTTAAGCTACCTTGTGATATTACAAGTAGGGTAAAATCTGTCCCTTTGTGATCCTTGACACCTGGGTTCCTGAGAGACTAAGAAGATGAGAGACCCTCTCCAACCTATTTTGGACATGCTACACAAGCAAGAAATAGATTTTTCTTTTAAATGTAGAGATGGGAGGGGGGTCTCGTTATGTTGCCTAGGCTGGTCTTGAACTCCTGGCCTCAAGTGATCCTCCTTCCTGGGCCTCCCTAAAGTGCCGGGATTACAGATGTGAATCACCATATCTGGGCAGGAAATAGATTGTTTTTATGTTCAGTCACTGAGACATAAGAGTCATTTATTGCTGCAGGAAAAGCTTACTCTGTCCTGACTTATACACATGCTAACAGGTCTCTTAAATTCTTCCCAACTACTCTCAGCACTGCTAGCTAGCCTCTACATTTCCCTAGTCCCTTCTTCAGCATATCACATCCTTTCCTTTCTCCTCAAATATCTGAATTTACTAATCTACCTAATTTACTTCCTCCCACTACCGTCACCTAACTCTCAGTTAATACCATTGCCTCACAGTGAAAACAGAAGTAATAGGACACAAATTCCCACATCTTCCCAGCTAGGCGAGTCTACCAACCTACCTTCATGTATACAGACAGGACGAAGCATCCCTGTGCCTAGGAAAGGCCAACCTCTACACTTGGGCTCTGGATCCCTGCCCCTCTTATCTTTTCAAGTGTTTCACATGTCAGTCTCCTGGAAATGATCTCTTCTTTCCTCTAGATCACTTAATCTCTCTCCAGTGGATCACTCCCCTCAAAAAATATGGAGCTGCCATAATCCCGTAAAGTGTCAAAAACCTTCCCTTGACCCTGGCTTCCTTTCCAACTGCTGCTGCATTTTTCAACTTTCCATTACCCCAAACTTAAGTATTCTATCATTGTTGTCTCCATTTCTTCATCTCACAGTTTTGTCTCAACCCATGCTAATCAGACATCTGTCTCACCCCTCTACTGAAACTGCTCTCATTGAGGTCACTCCGTCTTGCCAAAACCTAGTCATCATGCCTCTGTCACGTGCATTGAGCTCCTGGCAGTTGGGACGCAAAGGAACACACGCTCCTTGTCACATGTTCTTCTCTAGTGGTCTGGTAAACCACTCGTTGCTTTATAGTCTTTTTTACTGGCTCTTTTTCCTTTGCTTGACCTCCAAATATCAGAATGCCCTAGGTTTTATATAAAACAAATAACTTGATGATGTAGGCATGATTCCCTTCATCTTACAGATGAGGAAACTGCGATCTTCAAAATTTACACCACTTGCTCATGCTTTATAAGTGATAGAACTGTCCCAGGCAGCCTGAGTCCAACCACATCACCCTGTCTCACAGCCTTCACAGCACTATTACCTTAAATTATCTTATTCATTTATTTCTGTACTTATTTTATTGTCTATCACCCCTCCACCACAACAGAATGTTCCACCAGAAAAGGGGTTGTCTTTTTCTCTCCATGCCTAGCAAATAGTTAAGCCCTTGAAAATATTCCAAGAACGACTGAATAAACATTATATTGAGGAATTGGTGTACGGCTTCCGAGCCTGGTTTAGGAAATAAGGCCATCCCAGCTATCAGACTTGGATGGTGTGCCCCGTGTAGAGACTTGAGTCCTGGGAAGGTTCAGGTGGCAGAATCATCTGAGCCTGAGGAGGTCTGTGATCGCACTACTGCATTCCAGCCTGTGTAACACAGCAAGACCCTGCTGGGGAAAGGTAACGGGGTTGGAGGGAGTGGGGAGAGAAAGAGGCTTGAATCACTTTCAACTTTTGAACTGTTTAACAGCTGCCTCAGTTTATTCTATACATTATTTCCAAGGCATAGATGATCCACTCCATGCTTTAAGAACTTAAGTGCAGAAAGGTTAAGTGACGTATTTAAAGTCAGACAATAAATCGGCGCACAGTCTCGATATAGGAGATAAGAGCACGAAACTTATCTGCAAAAGGACTTAATCATTATTTTTAAAAGCCTCCTCCTTAATTCGGAAGAATAACACTGTCCTTCAACCCACAGTACATGGTGGGGGTGGATTCCAAAGCTGAAAACCAGCCAACCAGGAAGGCAGTGGCCGGAGGCTGGGACTCGGGGGTCCCAGGGCGGAGTCGCTGCACTGGGTACCTTCCCAGGTCCCTTCGAACCAGCCCGCCCAGCAGCCTGATTTTCTGAGACCTCGTCCCGGGACTCACGGAGCTCGTGTCCGGCAGCTGCCGGGTCCTCCTCTCCAAGCCCCTCCCGCTTCGGGGTGCGGGACGGGCCCCTCCAAGGCAGGGCGGCCGCGCCCCTCAGGTCTTCCCTGAGCCCCCTGGCGGCCGCAGCCGCCCCGAACAGCGGTCCCCTCGCCGTGGCCCCGTGGCTCCGGGCGCGGCCGGCGGCGTCCATGGTCGCCTCCGCGGACCCGTTGCGCAGGACAAGACCCAGACTCAGACCCAGACCCAGGGCGCGGGGCTGGACGCAGGCAGCTGAGCCCGGCCGAAGCACCGGATCGATTCGCTGGGTAACAAGCCCCTGGTTCTCTTTGTCCTCCTGTACCAGACGATTTCTCTCGAGATTCCCACTTTGCATATTCACTGATTATAGCCCTTCCTACATTGAATGGAAACTGTTCCTGGATTGGCTCTCCATTTTTTGAGGACAAACATGTCTTAATAATCTTTATGTCCTATATCAGCTAGGATTTAGCTATAATAGGAAAACCCAAATAACTACGGCTTAAACGAAGTTTTTGTTTGTTTCTTGTGAAAGTCTGAAAGCGTGCAGGCCAGTGCTGATAGAATGTCTGTTTTACAAAGCCCCCAGGAATCAGCCCCTGCAGCCCTCTACTCCACCATCCACATGTGCAACCCTTATGCTCAGGTGTAAATGGCAGCTTCTGCTTCCAGGCAGCAGGATGGAACAGAAGAATAGAAGGGGCAAAGAGGCATTAAATTCAAAACAATGTTTCCTTATCAATGAAAAAACAAACATGACAAAATATTATTTACTGTAACAGAACACCACCCATAACCTCAAACTTTCCTTTACAGCTGCCAGAAAGGAAGGTTCCCAGAAGCAACCACACATAGTACTTGTTTTTTTTTTTTTGAGATAAGGTTTCGCTTTGTCACCTAGGCTGGAGTGCAGTGGCACAATCTTAGCTCACTGCAACCTCCACTTCCCCCGTTCAAGTGATTTTCTTGCCTCAGCTTCCTGAGTAGCTGGGATCACAGGTGTGTGCCACTACGCCCGGTGACTTTTTGTATTTTAGTAGAGACAGGGTTTCGCCTTCTTGGCCAGGCTGGTCTCAAACTCCTGACCTTAGGTGATCCACCACCTTGGACTTCCAAAGTGCTGAGATTACAGACATGAGTCATCACACCTGACCAGTACTTCCTTTTATATCCCATTAGTGAAAACTCAGTCACACAGCTACCCTAGCTGGGAGGGTGTGAGCTGGAAGGATGGGAGATACACTGTAGTAATCAATTCTGTAACACCTACTTTTCACATTATCCCATCTCTTTAATTGAGATACTAAATTATCTGCCTGAATTGAAGTTGAGTTCTGCCAGAGAGGATTTGTATATGCTTCTGCCAGTCACTAGGGACAATACTTCAATTACATTTTCTGCTTGAGCTCTTTAGGATCATACCATTTGTATGAATTCAGATTACAAGCCCACATTTGTACCGGTTTGTGGTTTAAATTCTCACTGGCAGTTCCTCCTTCCAACCAGTGCCAAGGTTGAGCATGCCAGGTTGCTTTGCTCCCTCTTTCTTCTTTATCCTTACTCTTAAGGTAGAAACCTTGGTGTCCCATATTTATGCAGTGGCAACCTATTAGACTCCCTATCTTAGGTATTAGTTCTTAGCGCTTTATAAAATAAAGAATTGATGAAATACAGTAGTCTATTCTGGGTGATCATGTGCCTAGCTAAAATTCTAATAATATAACAGAAAAGTAGAATGTTGAAGGACAACCAGGATCTCTGCCCAGAATTGCTAGCAAAAAAAAAAAAAAAAAAAAAAAAAAAAAAACCTTGGCGCATCTCACACTTGCGATGGTTTCAGAGATCACATTTGAAGTTTAGCATATTCTAGGAGAGAAAAAACTTCTGAGCCTTCATAAAAGAAAACTAGATTTGATTCCAGAACTGACCCACCTTTCCCCCCGCCTTTTGTCTCTAATTTAGGGAATCTCTCTCTCCCTCTCTCCACATACATCCAAGAACATGAGTGATATTAGGAAAGCATTGTCTATAAATATGCATGAGATGATCTAGAGCAGGGAAAGAAACTAGCAAAAGTTAAGCTATGAGTTAGAAGGCCAGATAATAGACAACTGTTAAGAACCTGATAAAAGAAATGGAAACAAGTGTTTTCAAGAGGTCCCACAAGAGTAGACAGAACTCAGATAGGCATGTGGTTAGCAGAGGTAGTATGTGCGTGTGTGTATACAGGAATGAGTTTGAAATAATACTACACTTTAGAGACTGAAGTTAGAAGAAAAGGGTTACTACCATTTGTCTCTTAATTATCGTTTATCTCCCTGAGCACTCTGTAGACAGCAGCAGTTAACAAAATAAGAGTGTCACAATTACCTCATACTGGTAAGGGGAACAGTTCAATATTATGGTTTGCTTAATAAATGGAATCATGTTTCCAGTACTCACCATAATGTCATTTGAGTTTTTCTTGAGTTAATTCAGCTATGTATTACAAAGCAAAAGTGATTAGTCCTTAATTACACAATGAAAGAACAGTTTTTGCTCCAGGGAAATAAACATCACCTCTCTGTAAAGTTTACTAAAATCTTACCAACACAAAGTGTGTTTAAATGTATCGCTGCCTTTCAAAATGGAACATTACTTCAAAGAAAATTCAGTGATGGCTCATGCCTGTAATCCCAAAGCTTTGGGAGGCTAAGGAAGGAGGATTGCTTGTAGCCAGAGTTCAAGAACAATCTAGGCCACATAGCAAGATCCTACCTCAACAAAAAAATACAAAAAAATTAGCTGGGCATGGTAGCAACAGCCTGTAGTCCTAGCTACTCGGGAGGCTGAGATGAGAGGATCATGTGAGCCCAAGAGTTCCAGGCTGCAGTGAGTTATGATCACGACACTGCATTCCAGTCTGGATGACAGCAAGACCTTTTCTCTACAAACAACAGTTCAGCACCAGCTACACCACGTATGATTTTTTTTAATGGAATATTTCCTCAAAAAATAGTTTTGCTTTGTTTTGTTTTTTTTCCCCAAAAAAGTTTTGTTTAGCCCCAGGTTAATAGTCATATTTTAAGTTTTCTTCCAGATACTTCCAAGCCACTCCAAAAGGGCACAGTATAATAATAAAACACGTATAAAGCTAGGCATTATTTAATAAAGGGAAAGAAATGCAATTGTCTCTTTCTGAAATGTCCACTCCTTAGGACTCGGTTTGAGTGCAGCCACTTAACCACCATTCTGTCTTCCCAGAGAAGAACAATAATAGTAAATGCCCTTGGACACATACTATTTATTCATTTGTGTGTAAACAAATGACTCTCAACATTTACTGTGTGCCAGGCCATACACTTCATACTTGGAATTCAGAGATAAGTGAAAGATAGCCCAGGATCTCTTGGGGCCTACAATCCAGTAGGGAGAAACCAACATCAGAAACCATGCAAAGAATGTTTCAGGGTCTTTGTAGAGAAATAGGAGCACAAAATAGTGATTCATCAGTTTTTCCAGAGGGCAAGGAACCATTTTCTGAAAGTAGTCCTTGAGTTGAGTTGAAAGATGAGTGATTGTGTAGGTGGGAGAGAGAAAAGGGGCATTCAGGAAGCATATTCTGAGCAGAGGGAGCAGTGGAGCACAGATGCCAGAAAGGAGAAATAGCTTGGTCTGTTCAGGAAACCCTGATTGCCAAACCAGTGTTTAGAGTGTATCATGGACAGTGATATATAGGAGCTAGCTTGTACTGGCTTGCAAGAGCTGTTAAAGTTTCAGGAATTTTGTGAACTGGTTGACATCACATAACTTGAAATCTGTCATGGTGGGAGTATATACACCTCAGAAATAATTATACACTAAAAATCACTCCTTTTTCCTACCCATTCCACTGCTCATCTTGGAGAGACTTGAGAGCTTTTGAAAATTGCTCTTTTTTTTGACATGAGAGTGCCATTATGGGAATAGCATAATAGCACCCTCATGTTGTTTATAGCTAATCTGTAGAAAATGCGTAAGATGGTTTAGAGCAGGGAAAACTGACAAATTAGTTGGAAGGTCAGAGTTTAGACAACTGATAAGGACTTGACAAGAGAAATGGACAGAAATAGGTATTTTCAAGAGGCCCTACAAGAGTAGACAGAATTCAATAACAGATACAGGGTTGGCAGAGGTAGCAGTGGATATAAGGAGGATGAGTTAAAAGGTAAGGAGGAGGGCTGGGTGCGGTGGCTCAAGCCTGTAATCCCAGCACTTTGGGAGGTGGATCACGAGGTCAAGAGATCGAGACCATCCTGGTCAACAAGGTGAAACCCCGTCTCTACTAAAAATACAAAAAATTAGCTGGGCATCGTGGTACGTGCCTGTAATCCCAGCTACTCAAGAGGCTGAGACAGGAGAATTACCTGAACCCAGGAGGCGGAGGTTACGGTGAGCCGAGATCGCGCCATTGCACTCCAGCCTGGGTAACAAGAGCGAAACTCCATCTCAAAAAAAAAAAAAAAAAAAAAAAGGTAAGTAGTAGTAAAGAAATAGAGTTTTTAATGAGGGCAGAAAAAGTGTCTCCTATTAATTGCTACATCTCTCTTGCCTTTCACTTACAGCCTTCTTACATAAATGCCTATAACCACTGTCTACATTTTCTTAGCACAAAGTTCCCTTTTAAATTCTGTTATATGGCTTCAATTACCCTTGTTGATGCTGAAACTTCTTACTCTAGGAGGTCACTTCTTCAGTGGAGACACTCACCTTGTGGATACAATTCCCATACTAACTTTAAAGTAAAGCACTTCTGGTGGAGTGAATTAAATTTATAAATACTTCTTATAATGCTACTTTTCCTACTATTACATAAGATTGAGGAAAGGTGTGCAGCTCTTTGTTTCAGGGACAATGTAAAGACTGACATTAAAAAAGAGACATTTGAATTACATTGAAGAGAGGGTTATACACATGCAAACAATTATTAGGCCTACATCATTTGTTGTTTTATACTCTAATATGCATATATTCCAAACGCATAGCCCATCCTCCTTGAGATCCCTTAAACGTGTTACGAATTTGAAGTGTCTCTGCATTAGTCAAGTGAGGCAGGCCAAAGTTACTCTAAGAGATCTTTTTTACATTTTATTTGAATATAATTCTAATAAATTAGCATTTTGTAAGTGTGCAGTAAAGGGTTAAGCCAGCAGCCTCAGGTTACTCAAGCCCTGCACTTTTCAATGAGAGGTGTCTTTTTTTTTTTTTTTTTTTTTTTTTTAACTCTTAAGGCATTTATTTATTACAACATTCTCTGATTTCATATTAGCTTAAAATTCAATTTGGTCTTTACATTTTTCCACTAAGGTGACTGCTTCAGCATATTACTTAACACCTAATCCAGCACTCAGTGTGACCTGCGGCCGCACGCATGGTAGTACTGGCCCTTGACTAGCTCCTGGGAAATGACCTGAACGCCTGGAATTTCCAGTTTGATAACAATGTTCTAGTATGCCTGAGGCCTTGGACTGCATTTTGTTAGTTTGACGAGATAGTTTATGCTAACAGTATGACTCATGGTGAATGTCTGTTTTTTGAATGGCTGAAGCCCTGGGCCATTAGGTATTACATCTCTGGGGGTCTTGAGACTGACTAGGTAAGGTCAGTCACATGGGTGATGCATGTCTATGTGACTACCAGTAAAACCTTAGACACCAAGGATTCATTGAGCTTCCCTGGTTGACAATATTTTGCACACATTATCACACATTTCTGGAAGAATTAAGCATATCCCCATGTGACTCAATGAGGAAGAGGCACCAGGAGGCTTGTGTCTGAATTGATACATAAATAGGGTACTGCAAGTAACAAAACCTAATATAACAAATTGCCTTATGGTTGGAGAGAAGACTTCAGGGAGTGGGGACACAAATATCACATGCTGGAAAACTGGTGACTTGTTTGGTGGTATATTAGAGTCCTCTAGAGGGACAGAACTAATAGGATAGATATAAATACGAGGGTGACTTTCTTAGGACAACTGACTCACACAATCACAAGATGAAGTCCCACACGAGGCTGTCTGCAAGTTGAGGAGCCAGGAAGCCTGTCTAAATCCCCAAACCTCAAAACGAGGGAAGCCAACAGTGCAGCCTTCAAAGGCCTGATAGTCCCTGGCAAATCACTGGTGTTCATCCAAAAGCTGAAGATAGAGTCTGATGTTCGAGGGCAGAAAACATCCAGCATAGGAGAAAGATGGAGGCCAGAAGACTTAGCCAGTATAGTCCTTCCACGTTCTTTGGCATGCTTTTATCCTAGCTGTGCTGGCAGCTGATTAGATGATGCCAAACTAGATGGAGGGTGATCTGCCTCTTGAGCCCACTGACTCAAATGTTAATCTCCTTTGGCAACACCCTCACAGACACACCCAGGAACAATCTGCTGCATCCTTTAATCCAATCAGGTTGACACTCACATTAACCATCACAAATGGAAAGAAAACATTTGGTCAAACTGTCAACATCTGTCTTTGCAAAGTAGACCAAATGCTGACTGAGGCTGCAGCATTAGAGGAAATGTTAGGAGAAAAACTAAAAATTTGCCTTTGGATGGTTCTTTCTTGCTGTGCTCAGCAAGGTACTAGAAGAGAGACATGTATTTTTTTTCTCGATTGAAACTAGCTAGCCTGCAGAGATGGAGGAAAATATCATCTTAATGAAAACAGTTTTTGCCTTTTTTATTTTTATAATGATAAAGGTCACATATGAACAATAATATGTAAAATATATATGTATAAAGAGTATTTTAAAAGTAAACATCCATGCACTCACCACCCAAGACAAGAAATGGAACACTGCCAGCATCCCAGAATCACCAGGTACCACTCCCCAATCAAATTACCTTATGTTTCCACAGAGGAAATCATTATTCTGGTTCTGAGGACAGCAAAACACTTGCTTTTCTTTATAGTTTTATCTCATAGACATAAATATATACCCTTAAAGCAAGATAGTTGTTCAGTTTTTACTGTTTTAAATTTTATACAAGTGGAATTATGTTGATGGCATCCTTCAATTTGCTTCTTTTGCTCCACAATATGTCTGTGGTACTCATCTACGTTGTGATTAGCTATTTCCTTCATTTTCACGCTGTGTAGAATTCTATTGTTTTAATATAAATACCACAGTAGAATTTAACCATTCTACCACTGCTGAATATTTGCTTCATTTCCAACTTTTGGTTATTGCAGTGCTACTATGAACATTAAGAAAAAAATTTTGGGGGAATCTTCCTGACTGGGAAGAACTTTCTTGTACATGCTTCCCAGGGTACATGTTCACTGGTTTTCCCAAGGCATTGTATTAGTTAGGGTCCTAGCAGGGAAAAAAATTAACTGTAATGAAAGATAACCTGCAAAGATGTATACCTCAGAGTACAATTGCTGGGCTTTGGGCATGTTTATCTTCCACAGTGATTGTTTTCAATGTAAGAGTTGACACCATCACCAAAACTTAGTATCATTAGATCATTTCATTTTTGTAAAAATGGTAAGGATGTAATGATACCTCCTTGTAGTTTTATTTTTTACTTCCCAAATATTAATATGGCTGGGAATACTTTCATGTTTCTTGGTCATTTGGATCTCCTTTCACTTGAAATGCCATATAAAGTCTTTTGTCCAAATTTCTATTGACTGTCTTTTTCTTACTGATTCATAGGAATCATTTATATATTCCGGATACTAGTTTTTCACGAGTTACATATATTGCAAATACGGTAGTTCTTTATGACTAGGTTTATATTAGGTTCACCAAGTAGGTAAGATTATGCATGCTTATTACTGGTCCTTGTAGTTTTGCTGTTATTTTCTTCAAATGCTCCAAATCAAAATTATAATAAAAAGAAAATGGATTGGATATACTAAACAAAATAGGTAGTAAATAATGTGATGAAAATTCTGGGCAGAGAAAGCAAAAGTAAAGGTGTAAGAGGGAGGAAGAGTAGAAAAGTAAGAAAAGCTTCTCACATCAATTAAAGTTCTAAATTTTATTTCAAATGATTATTAAATATTACTAAATGATGACATTCAACTAAATAAATCCTTAAATAAAATAATTTAGCATTTATGCTAATATTGAAAATAATAAAAATAAACAAGGCAAGACAGAAAAGAACTGAATATAGTACTATTTACCTTTCAGTACATTAAATCAGTGTTTGTTGAACTTAAATTTGTACAGAATTTATGTAAGTAAATCACATGATCAAGAACCATAACACTACAACTTTGTATTTGTCATAGTATATAATAACATCAGTCATGGGATTGAATTGGCATGCTAACAGGCATTAAGCTTACTTTAAACAATCTAGTAATTAAAAGTCAAGTTACCACTTTGCCAAAGTCTGTGCGTTCTTAATTATGCTATTCCCAAAATATTATAATATATAAAATATATATTTACATAAATATATAGATAATAAACTAAAATATGAAAGCAAGGGGAGAGAAAACAAAAATATAAGAGAACAGATGATTTCATTCCTTAAAGAAGTAACAGAAAATGGTTTCCAACTTCATGTTGCAATTAAACAATAACTTTTTTTTTTTTTTTTTTGAGACAGAGTCTTGCTCTGTCATCCAGGCTAGAGTGCAGTGGCAAGATCTTGGCTGACTGCAGCCTGGATCTCCCAGGTTCAAATGGTTCTCCTGCCTCAGCCATCTGAGTAGCTGGGATTACAGGCAAGTGCCACTGCCACTAAGCCTGGCTAAATTTTTTTTTTTTTTTTTTTTTTTTTTTTTTTTTTTTTTTTTAAGTAGAGACAGGGTCTTACCATGTTGGCCAGGCTGGTCTGGAACTCCTGACCTGTCAAGTAATCTGCCCGCCTTCCCCTCCCATAGTGCTGGGATTACAGGTATGAGCCACCGTGCTTGGCCTAAATAATGATTATCTGAGAAGAATTCATTGATAGCACAAAAGTATGTTGAGAAACTACTTAAGCTAACTACTAATAAGCTGTCTTCTTTCACAGCTATTAATAAAAATGTTGATAGCAATGTAACTAAGATACTTAATGTGTCTTAATATACATTAATCTTTTGGATTACACATTTTCTTTTGAAGACTATAATAAAGTGGCTATACAATTCATTCTTCTTTATAGATTTGTAGAAAGTACCAACATAACTGACAAGAAATGAAATACTGCCATTTAAAAGTCCTGTATTAAAATAAAACTACTTTGAATCATCTTGGACTAAATATTTTTAAAAAGTGATTCAAGTGTTTATTCATAACAGAATTTTAAATAAGAAAAGCCAAATTAAAAATTATATTTTAAGCAAAAACCATTTTAACACAGATAATACTATATTATTTTCCTGAAGGTAAGAAAACCACTTATGCTAGTTATGTTAATACTCTTCATAGAACTTAAGATAAATTTTAATTATGAATGCTCATGAGGTATCTAAAGATACTAGGATCAATGCCAACAAAGTAGTTAAGTGGTAAAAAATCCTTAGGATAATATAGGTTTGCATGAATCTTTGAAAGCCCTTACAAATCTGTTTTTCTAATTAGTATAAAAATAATTTTAAAAATCACCTTCTGATCGAATTCCTAATTTCTTTTTTAAAAATTATCTCTTAACCGGATTAATTTCTAATTGATGTATAACAGAAGTAAATTCTCATGGTTATAAAAAAGATATAAATAATTAGTATATATTCCAAATTCTTAGAAAAGCAAACGTCATCTGAGGAAGGATTATTGCACTTGCCTTCACTAAATAAATCTGCAAACTTAAAATCAGGAAAAACAAATTCATTGATTATAAAACAACAAGTTTCAATTAAAAATTAATGATCAAATGTTCAATGTTTACTTAAAAAATGTATCAAGGGTATGTTTGGGATTGTTTGGTTTTATTTTCTTTGATGTTGAGTACTTTGTTCTCAATCCTGGCCTAGAATGAAAAGGAATACACAATTAAAATGCAGGAAGAGATTCAAGAAAATAATTCATTTTTAATATGGATTACTTAATAATTTATAAAAGTGAATTTTCATATTGCAGCCAGCTTTATTAAAGCTCAAATTAGCCATACCTTTTTGTTCTTGTTACAGTCTTCTGTACTCCACTTGAGCTACCTTTAGACGAAAGAAAAGTCAAGAAATTCCATAAAGAATAATATGAAATAATTTAAAAGTTGTATAAAAATTTAAAAAGTTAAAACTAATTGATTAAAGATAATAATTTCCTTGGTACTATATAGTTCACATGTAAACACACCAAAAACTATAATTTCTTTGTAACTTACTAGTTTTATTAGCATTACACTTACTTTTATTGGTGAAATTTGGGTAGACTCAACATTACCAAAAAACAAGTTGAAGAGGCTTTCTTGTTATGCAATTATAGTTAATTTACCACTGTGCCTTCACAGATGTTCTCTGAAAGAATTTCTTTTTTGATTAGATCACTCAACTCTTTAAACCTTTGAGTTCATTCTGTACTAAATCAAGATCAAACTAGTTTTCCCAAGATTCACAATCTATAGGCTTGAGTTAATTCTAAACTATGGCAAGGTAACTAACATTTTCCTAAATAGCAGCATACACCAACTACCCATTTTAATAGTGTGTTTCAGATTTAACGACAATCTCATTAATTTTAATAAAACTTATTCCTAGAAAACCACGTAGTTTAAAATGACTACATACTCACCAGTACTTTTGGAGCTTTCTTTGGGTTGATTAACTGGGTTAACTTTATCCCTTCTTAGTTCTTGGATAACACTTCTATTTAAGCAAACATCTACGTGCACATTGAACAGGGTTAGATCTAAAGTCTTTTGTTCTACGTTACAAACAGGACAAACTAGAGCTTGGCCTGTTACCACTTTACATAAATAAGGCTGGCAGGATTCTGGTCTACTTAATAATCCAACATCTTCATTTTCCAATGAAACAGTACAAGAATTCTGATGACAGTGTTCAATATTAAAAGACTTGCTTGGGAGACTAGAACATTCTTCCTTGCTATGCTTATTACTTAAAGCATCTATGCTTTCTGCTTTAGATGAGTTATGTATAGTATCTACTAAATCTACACAATCTACTGAAGATATTTCTTTATTTTTTGGATGGGCTTCATCACCTTGCTTGTCATAAAGTGAAGAAGAAGAAATATTTTCTTTCTTGTTAACTTTGGTTGCAGAAACATGTGAACATGAGAACATTTTAGAGTTTTCACTGATTGAACATCCATCGAGACATGCATCTACATGTTTATTAAAGGCTTCCAGACTGATGTATCCTTGCGCCCTAAAGCAAATAGGGCAGGTAAATATCTGACAGTTATCTGAATTCTCTGATATTTCCAAATTCTCATTCATCTTCTTTAAAACTGGGAATAGCTGTGATGTCTGTAAACTTTGTTCATTCATGGTGTCACATTTAAATGTATCTTGGTGGCTCCATTTCCTTTCTGATCGTTTTTTATCAAAGAAACTCTTCTTATGAGACACTTCTAGAGGTTTTGCAAACTTATCTTTGTTAGTTTTCTCTAGTATACACCCACTGGCTGATGGGGTTTGGTTTCCAGCCTGTAAAAAGGCAATAATGCTCCTTTGTTGGTGTTTCCTGTCTTCTTCACTGGGAAAACTAGATATCCGAACACCTAAATTAGATCAATCACAATCAATTCAAATTCAACAAAGCCAATTCACTCACAATGCATAAAAACATTTTGTCTCGTGCTATGACATATACAAAAAGTTGGCTACAGAGAAACAATAAGTAACATTTCAAAGCTAGTATTATGAGTGAAAATTTACTTTCCTTTATAAAAGAATACCATTAAATGTTAACTATTTGGAGTTAGCAGGATGATGTAGGACTTTAATTCATATATGACACATAATACCATTAAATACTATGTAACTAACTGGTGTCAACTATACAGACTCTTTAGTTTTTTTTTTTTTTTTCCAATAAACTTTATTTTTTAGAGGAATTTTAAATTCACAGAAAAATTAAGCAGAAGGTACAATGACTTCCCATAGATCCCCTTCCCCTACACATGTACACCCTTCCACCCCAACTATCAACATGTGGTACCAGAATGGTACATTTGTTACAATCTACAAACCTACATTGCTACAACATTGTCACTCAAAGTCCATAGCTTACATAGGGTTCACACTTGGTGTACATTCTGTGTGCCTGGACAAATTTATAATGACATGCGTCATTATAGAATCACACAGAATCATTTCATTGCCCTAAAATTCCTGTGTTTTGCCTATTAATCCCTTCCTTCCCTCCTAACTCCTGGCAATCAATTATTTTTTACTGTATTTATATTTGCCTTTTCCAGAATCTCATATAGTTGGAATCATACAGTATTTAGCTTTTTCAGATTGGCTTCTGTTACTTAACAATAGGCAGTTAAGTTTCATTCATGCCTTTTCATGACTTGATAATTCATTAATGTGCTGAATATTATTCCACTGTCTGTATGTACCACAGTTTATTTATCCATTCACCTACTGAAGGACATCTTGCTTGCTTCCAAGTTTTGGCAAGTATGAATTAAGCTTCTATAGACATCTGCTCTTTGTTTTTTTTTTTTTTTTTTTTTTTTTTTTTTTTTTGAGAAGGAGTTTCACTCTCGCTGCCCAGGCTGGAGTGCAATAGTGTGATCTTGGCTCACTGCAACCTCTGCTTCATGGGTTCAAGCAATTCTCCTGCCTCAGCCTTCCGAGTAGCTGGGATTATAGGTGCCCACCACCACACCCAGCTAATTTTTTGTATTTTTAGTAGAAACGGGGTTTCACTATGTTGGCCAGGCTGGTCTCAAACTCCTGACCTCAGGCAATCCACCCACCTTGGCCTCCGAAAGTGCTGGGATTACAGGAGTGAGCCACTGTGCCCGGCCCAGCTCTTTTAATTAACATTTTATTCAGTTAAGTGTGTACGTATCTTTCTTATATTAAAGTATGGCTAGTGATCCATTCCTACTAGTAAAGTGGGCATTTGGAGCGCTGATCCATATACATAATTTGATCCAGTTCACTTTGGAAACATGGCTTGTTAGTTTTTACCGTGCAATGGCTAGAGATGTGATTTCATTCATCATAATTCTTTATCTGTAATTTCCAAATCCAAAAAGTTCTGAAAACTGAAAACTGTAAACAAGTGATAACTGATGACTAAATTAACGAGAGACTAGAATCTTTACAGTCTCTGACTATTTTGTTTTGCTACAGAAATATTAATGTGCTTAAACTGGCAATGTTGCCCCAGATCCACAGAGAAGTATTACATAATACACATGCATTGAATTTGATTTCTAAAACCTGAAAAGTTTTGAATTTTGAAACATACCTGGACTCAAGAATTTCATTAATAAGGAAAAGAACAACTTTAATTGGCTCTTACTGGAATTAGTTGATCATGGCTTCACAAATCAGGATCTAATAATTAAGATAAATGGCAGTAGCAAAGGAAATACTTCCTAAACATGTTTAAGAAATAAAATGAAAGTGAGAATACAGGTGCTCTTTGACTTAAATTAGGATTGTATCCAGATAAACCCATTGTAAATTGAAAACATAGTAAGTCAACTTAGAATACTTTCAATTCATGATGGGTTAATCAGACATAACCACATTGTAAGTTGAGAGTGTACTGAAAACAACATACAGCTTTCCCACCATCGCAAAGTTGAAAATCAGTAAGTTGAACCACTGTTAAGCTGGGGGCCGCCTGTATTCCCATAGTTGATTATTTGGTAAAATCTAGCAGATTTAAGAAAAAACAAAAATAAAAATTAAAAGTCATACCCATAAGTCTCAATCTTAAGGGATGTGGAAAATCAGCATCAATTTCTGTTTTTAGTAACTCCTTAGCAATGGCAAATATTTCTTCTGCAGTAGAAATAACAGACGAAACTGTAGATGCACGAGTTTTTACTTCAAAATTCACATTCTTCAACTTAATGGTAACAGTTCTACCCTATAACATATACAATACGTTATTTATTTATTTATTTTTGAGACAAAGTCTCTCTCTGTTGTCCATGTTGGAGTGTGCTGGCACAGCTGTAGCTCACTACAGCCTTCAACTTCTGGGCTCAAGTGATCCTCTTGCCTCAGCCTCCTGATAGCTAAGATAACAGGTGCATGCCACCATACCCGGCTAATTGTTTAATTTTTTTGTAGAGACAGAATCTCACTGTGTTACCTAGGCTAGTCTCAAATTCCTGGCCTCCAGGGATCCTGGCCTCCCAAACTGTTTGGATTACAGGCACGAGCTACCGCACCCACCAGAATATGTTATTCTATAAGATGTCCTAACTTGTAGAAAAAAGTCATGTTAGAAAAATTCAGAAAGGTTTATGGACACAAGAATATGAAGTATAACCAATTATTTATAAAACATGGTGATAAAAACTATTATAATTAAAATACCATTTTAGCCAACAATTTTTACTCCCCCTTTCCAAACATAAGCTGAAATCCCACTTTAGTTTTCAGATGGCGGTCTCACTCTGTTGCCCAGTCTGGAGTACAGTGGCGTGATCGTGGCTCACTGCAGCTTCAATCTCCCAGGCTCATGCTATCCTCCTGCCTCCCAAGTAGCTAGGAGTACACGCTCGTGCCACTATGCCCAGCTAATTTTTAAAAATTTTTTGTAGAGACGTGATTTCACTATGTTGTCCAGCCTGGTCTTGAATTCCTGGGCTTAAACAATCCTTCTGCCTCAGTTTCCCAATGTGCTGGGATTACAGGCATGAGCCACTATGCTTGACTTAAAATCCCATTTTAGCCAGTAATTATTATTCCCCTTCCCAACTGAATTTTTTTTTTTTTTTTTTTTTTTTATGTTAGACAGAGTCTCACTGTGTTGCCCAGGTTGGATTCCAGTGGAGTGCTCTCAGCTGACCACAACATCCACCTCCCAGGTTCAAGCAGTTCTCCTGCCTCAGCCTCCTGAGTAGCTAGGATTACAGGTACACTCCCTGCACACACCACCACGCACATCAGCACCAAGCTGACCCATACACTTCAGCAAAGTGGAAGATGAGTGGAGATTCTGGCAAGAGGCAAATCCAGATTCCGGATCGCAGCAAGCCAGCCAGGGAGGCTGACATCACTCTACAGAAGCCCAGGACCAGGCCCTGGCCTTGACCAGGTGCTCCGCACTACACTCTCTCACAGATTTTTATTTTATTATACTGTAAAAATGCAGTAATTTTTTTATTTTTATTTTTTTTTCTCTCTCTCTCTCTCTCTCTGTGTGTGTGTGTGTGTGTGTGTGTGTGTGTGTGTGTGTGTGTGTGTTGCTGTTGTTGTTTGTTCTAATTTTTTGTATTTTTAGTAGATATGGGGTTTCACCATGTTGGCCAGTCTGGTCTCGAACTCTCGCCCTCTTGTGGATCCTCTCACCTCAGCCTCCCAAAGTGCTGGGATTACAGGTATGAGGGAACATGCCTGGCCCCCTAACAAATTTATATAAAAGACATTTACATTAAGGGCAAGGTTAAATGATCACATTCATTCATTCATTCGACAGAGTCTCACTCTGTTGCCAGTCTGCAGTGCAGTGACGCAATCTCAGCTCACTACAATCTCCGCCTCCCAGGTTGAAGCAACTCTCCTGCCTCAGCTTCCCAAGTAGCTGGGACTACAGGTGTGCGCCATCATGCCCAGCTAATTTTTGTATTTTTTAGTAGAGATGGGATTTCACCATGTTGACCAGTATGGTCTCAATCTGTTGACCTCATGATCTGCCTGCCTCAGCCTCTCAAAGTGCTGGGATTACAGACGTGAGCCACCGCACCCGACAAGTCACTTTCATTTTTACTGACTCTCTTTTGGAGGTTGATTCATACAAAGGAAGGAAAAAAAAATCTTTCTCAAAGTGTCTCATTGAAAAGGACTTAAGAATAGCTCATATTTATTGTGTGCCTTCTATATTGTCAGATACTATGCCAAACAATTTACATATAAGAATTCCCTTTATATTTAAGTTTGTTTTTGTTTTGTTGTCTTGTTTTGAAACGAAGCTTCACTCTTTGTTGCCCAGGCTGGAGTGCAACAGGGCGATCTTGGCTCATCACAACCTCTGCCTCCTGAGTTCAAGCGATTCTCCTGCCTCAGCTTACTGAGTAGCTGGGATTACAGGCAGGTGCCATCACACCTGGCTAATTTTGTGTTTTTAGTAGAGACAGGGTTTCTCTATGTTGGTCAGGCTGGTCTTGAACTCCGGACCTCAGGTGATCTGCCATCCTCCGCCTGCAGTTAAGTGTTTCATGAGGGCAGGGTTTCAGTGGAGACAATGAAACAGTTCTAGGGATGGGTGGTGGTGATGGTTATACAACAATATGAACCATACACTTAAAAATGGTTAAAGTCGTAAATTTTATGTTATGTATATTTTAGTGTCCCCTGGAGAAGGAAGTTAATTCCTGTTCTCTCCCATCAGAGGGTAGATTAGATTTACTAACTTACTTCGAAAGGGAAAAACACAAATTTCACAGTGGAGAAGGCTAGCGAACACTAACCAAGTGTTGAAGGTTAATATCAGCCATGATGTCATGTGGCTATTATATACCCCATGATAGGATGTTATGAAAAGGGCACTTTCTCTTTGTGGTATTCTAAAAATCCATAACCTTGATCTAATCATGAGAAAATCATCAGACAAAAAACCAAGATTGGGGGACATTCTGCAGAATACCTGTATAGTACTACCCAAGACTGTCAAGGTCATGAAAAAGAAAGAAAGACTAAGAAACTATCATAGACCAGAAAACTGGAGACACATGACAGCTAAATGCAACATAGTCCCCCAGATTGAACTGTGGAATGCAGAGAGGACATTAATGGAAAAATAAGTAAACGCCTAATAAAGTCTGGGGCTGAGTTAATAATTGGCAATGTACTAAGGTCAGTTTTTACTTTTGACAACTGTATTCTGGTAATACATGAATAATGGAGAAAACTGGATGAGGAGTATGCTGAAATTCTATTATTTTTTGTAACTTTCTTGGAAATGTAAAATTATCATAAAATTAAACATTTAAATATTTTTTATAAATAAAATTCTTAAACTCAAGGTATGACAGAGAAGGATTATAAGAAAAATACTCATCAGATATCCCATACTTTGTCATAATTTTTTAAACAAATTTTTTACTGATGCATAGTATGAACACAGTAAATTATCAAATGTACCTCACAGTTTTGATCTCCATAAAGATCAAATAAGTGTACTTGGGATATCTATGACCTTTAATATTTGTATTTTTTTTATGATGGAAACATTCAAATTATTCTCTTCTAGCTATTCCAATATGTAAAATAGAATATTGTACACTATAGTCATCTTACTGATCTATTAAACACTAGGTCTTACTTCTTCTATCAAACCATATTTGTGTATCTGTGTAGTAATTTAAAAATACTTTTTTATTACACTTTGCACTCACTCTACCTATGGTTTAAGAGTATTGGGAATATACTAAATATAAATTGTTGTGACTGAAGATTATAAAATAGCAAGATTAAAGCCTTACAGGTTTTTGTTGTCCTGTGTTAAGCAACCTGGATTACATCCTTGAAACAAAACGCCTATTTTAGAAGATCATTGTCTAAGTAAGAAAAACATTAAAGGACAATTGGAAAGACATTTGTAATATGTGAATACAATTCTTGGGAAACACTTTATTTGGCTTTATTCTCTAATGCCAGTGTAACTCTGGTTTTGAACTTATTCAAATGTACTCCTGAGGTACAGGAGTAAAGTCCTCTGAATTATAATGAACCACTCTAACCTCGTAAGTTGCTTCTTCATAGAATCACCTCATCACAGACTTCAGATATGGGTCAGAATTGAATTTGTCTGACTGTTGGGGGCAGGAATACACCATTCTAACAATTATTAATTTGTAGTCATCATTAAGAAATGTGTAATTTAACTCTAGCTTTAAGGTAGCATTATTAAAAAACTTAAAAACTAAGGACAGCATATAAAAATAAAGCACCTTAAGTCCTTCTTTCTGCAGATCTTGAGCAAGTTCACTGCAAAGTTCTTGGCATAGGCTGTATTGTTCTTCTGCTTTATTTATCTCACTGAAAGTCCTAAAAAGACAAGAAGATTTTGATGCACAAAGTAAATCATAATTCAGGATAGTTTGGAAATGGTATGCATGTTTATATAGCCAGCATTAAGTTATATTTTCTGCAGTACAAAATAAAGTTTTCAGAGGAACTAAGATTTAGTTAAGTAAAAATATCTAAGATCTATATAAATAATGCTTGATTAGCAAAGGAACAATTTTATGCTCTTGCTCTATTATATCACAAAAAAGATAAAGTTACCAACAGATAATGGTAACACCTCCAGAAGTTAAAATAGATTAGAGCATATATATATATATATATATATATATATATATATAAATAAACTTTGTTAACAAAAGATTATCTTAAGAAAGTCCAAATGAGAATATCATTCCAATTACTGCACATAGATTCTCTGGATGAAAACATCTTTAAGTAGATTTAAAGGGTTGGCCCATGAAACCTAGGCAGAGTTATTTAATAGACAGTTGAAAATAAAGGCTGATAAGATTAAATACAGATATTTTGAATTCATTTGCAAAAGAGTACTGAAGAAAGTTGATAGGTGATATTAACATAAAAGAGGAAAATAGAAAGAGGTCAGAATGATGAGTATGGACCCTGGGCAAGTGACCCATCAGAAAAGAGTCCCCTTTCTACTTCTAACCTTGTCCTCAGCTACTCAGTTCTCTTCCCTAGTAACAATCAATCAGTCAGCTTCTTATTCTTATGAATTCCTTAGATATATCCCACATATATATGCAAACAACATGAGATTTCCCCCTCATTTTTTTATATAAAGAGTAGAATTTTAGATACATTAATACCCTGCTTTTCTTAATTTATCTTGGTGAGAGTTCCCCATGAGTAAATGATTTCCTCATTTTTATACAGTAGCATAATATTCTAATTTAAAAATATAAGGTAATTTAACCAATTCTCTATTCATGGATATTCAAGTTTTTTCTATCATAAAAAATGCAGTGAGTAACGCTGTATATATGTAAAATGACAGGTGACTACATCTGTGGTATTAATTCTTAGTAAAAGAATTATGGGATCAAAGGACATGCGTATCTGTGATTTTGATATATATTATCAAATTTCTCCCTGTGGTAAGCCAGATAATGGTCCCTAAAGATGTTCAAATCCTAATCCCTGGAATCTGTGAACCTAGTATCTTATATGACAAAAGGGACTTAGCAGATGTGATTAAATTCTGATGGAGATTACTCTGGAATATCCAGCTGTGCCCAATGCAATCCCAAGGGTCCTTATAAGAAGGAGACAGGAGGGTTAGAGTCAGATAAAGAAGTTGCTGAGGCTATGAGTTAAGGAATGCTGGTGGCCTCTAGAAGCTTTTCATAAAGAAATGGACTCTCCTCCAGGGCTTCTAGAAGAAACAGAGCTCTACCAACACATTAACTTTAGAACCACTGACTTTCAGAATGATAGAGAATAAATCTGTGTTGTTTTAAGCCACTAAATTTGTAGAAATCTGTTATAATGGCAATAAAAAACCTAATGTACTCCCTCTAAAGTTTATACATTTTTCACTCCCCCAGTCTTGCCAATAGAGTATGTTAGAATCTTGGCCAACCAGTGAAAGAAAGGTATCTTGAGAGAACTTTCAATCTGTATTTTTTAAATTATAAATAAAAATGGCAATATTTTCACTTGTTTTAAGAGCCATTTGTATTTCCTTTTCTATTAGTTAATTAGACCTTTATTCATTTTTTCTATTTTATTGATTATAAGAGTTCTTTCTATATTAAAGAAGTGTGTGATATAAATTGCAACCTCCTTTGCTCCAACTTCATACCAAATTTGATGTTATATGGCCCATTTTAAAAAAGAGCAAGGAGAGACAGTTTCCAGAAAAACAGTGGAGAACATATTCCTGTATATCAAATAGTGTCCTCAATAACAGACAAAATGGCAGAGTATTTTATTAATAGGACAATACTATTTTGCTTTTGGATGCTTTTTCTCTCTCTTTGATTGCTTTCACATGGACTGAAACCTAAAATAGCCATTTTTATCAAAGCCATTTACTGTGTTGTCTTGTAAAAGTTATTTAGCTTTTCTGACCACAAACAATATATGTGAAATATGAACACACGTTGACTAGGTCAGTGTTTTGTCTTGTTTTGTTATTGAGACAGAGTCTCACTCTGTTGCCCAGGCTGGAGTGGAGTGGTGCCTGCCATCTTGGCTCACTGCAAATTCCACCTCCCAGGTTCAAGCAATTCTTGAGCCTCAGTCACCCAAGTAGCTGGGATTACAGGTTTGAGCCACCATGCCCAGCTGATTTTTGTATTTTTAGTAGGTACAGGGTTTTGACACGTTGGCCAGGCTGGTCTCAAACTCCTGGCCTCAAGTGTTCTGCCTGCCTCAGCTTCCTAAAGTGCTGGGATTGTAGGTACGAGCCACCTTGCCAGGCCCTAGGTCTGTGTTTCTTAAATGTCTCAGTGGAACGAACATTGCTACTTTGAGAAGATAATTGAGGGATGTTTCAAACAATGACTTATTTCCCCAAATAGTAAGTTTCCATCAAGATTTTCTCTGGTTTTCCAACAGGATTGTGATCCACTAAACTAGATCATCTTTAAGCTCTCTTTCATTAGTAATATTTTACTATGTGATTAAGCTTCTGCTTAATCACCAATATTGAAAGAATTTTAGGAAGAATTACCATTGTTACTTTTTAAATTTCCGAGGTAAATACTCAATTGTCCTTATAAACAAGCTAGAAATTAAAATATGAAATTCTAAAATGCTTTGTTTTCACTAAGGATTAAAACTAACATTAAAAAATTGCTGAAGTTTATTTTTGAGATTATAGCAACTGAAAATAATAGTCTTATACTAAGGCATTTACTTCAGGGAGTGTAAACTACTAAAAAATGTTATAGTAATTTGCAAATAGATTTCTTATTTCAGTGATATTTATTAAAAATCAATTTAAAATTAGTAAAATAACATGAATTATGCACAATTAATAATTAACAAAATATTACCTCTCAACGCTCATACTCTTCCTCTCTCCATCCCTTAAAATGAAAAAAAAAGGTCTTTATTTTTCAAAGACTGACTTTTTTTAGTTAACCAAGATTTAACATATCGATTACCTTTTAGAGATCTCAAATTTTTAGTTAAAATTTATACATCATGAAAAACAGTGTTTTTTATCTAAAAATAAACAAAGAACACACATAGGTAAGAGGCTAATCAAGTCTATATCTATTGAAGAGAACAAACTTGAAAATACGTAGATATTAGAAATTGCTTCTATTAAAAACCTGACTATCAAAAACCACAAGCTATAAAAACAAATAGAAAGTGGTAATGTAGTATCTTCCAGTTATAGAATACAATTAAATTTTTAAAAATTTAAAATCATTTATCTAGTTTTTGGTCTAGTATATTAACTTCTTTCTCCCATACCCTATTCATTATTCATTTACAGCACTCTAGAAAACCTCAGTCGGAATTTGGTACAGAGCTATAGGATGAAGACTGGGAATCTGAACTACCTAGTTTGGCTGTATTCTAGCTGCTCAACAGGAGTAGTTAAAACCAAAAAGTTGAAATGACATGTAGAGTACTCATTTTCCAAATATTTAGTGAATCTATTATGATTCAAGCACTGTTCTAGAACTTGAGGATATAGTAATGAAGAAAACAGACCAAGTACTTGCCCTAAGGAAACTTATATATCCCACTGAAGAGAGACAGATAAACAAATACAGTAGTAAATACGGAATAGATAGAAGGGGAGAAGTACTCAGATTAAAAAACAAAGCAAAGTAAGGGAATAGAGAATACGAACAGAGGGAAAGGCAGGCTTGATATATTATTATAAATTACCTATGAATTTCACGTAAAAGCTTTACCCACATCTCTAAATACCACGTTAATATATGTTATGTTATATCAGAACTATATTGTTTTCAAGCACTATGGAAATAAAAAAATTTTGGATTAAAAATAAAGTTTTATTTCCTGCTATCTTCAAATATAATTACTTATAGTGCTGTGACATCTTTGTCTTTCATTATGTCCACTGAAAATCAAAGTCAGCTAACTGTGGACTCAAAAGATTGAAGAGCAGGAAGAGATGAGTAAAGTATTACAACAAGCCTGGCAATCTCTGTAAAATTTAGTAGGTTTAATTGGTCAATCAATTTTATATGCATCCCCATTGATTTTTATTGTTGTCCTTTAGTTTAAACACAAGAATATAAAGGAGTCATTTTGAGGACAGCCTGACAAGATGATGACAAAATTATAAAAACAGTGCCCAGTGTTGACTTCCATGATTCCCAGTCTTTTAAAATTCCCTTCTTCTCACCTATCCTCTCAGCAATTTACCTTCTAACTCTAGAGTTCCTCTTTTTAAGACCTAGATGAAAGAGTGGCAGGGAAGAAAACCCAGGGTATTTCCTCTAGCTGTTCCCTCTTTCAGCCTTTGCATGACTGGCTCCCACAGGTCTCTCTCCCTTTGGATAATGGTTGCCATCCCTCACACTTACCCCAAGTCATTTTCTATGCCCTCACTCTGCTTTACTTTCTTCATTTGTTACTTGATTATATTCTATCTCTCACACTAGTCTGTAAACTCCATAAAGGGAGCAAACGCCTATTTGCTGCTGTTATCCATAGTGCCTAGAATAGTACCTAACACAAAGTACTCAGTACTGAATGAATGAATCATTTACAAATTTGGAAAACCAAAGAAATGTAGTTAAAGGCTTTCAAAGAATCATCACATTTCCTTTCTTTATTAAAGTGTGTATTATGGAATATTGCCATCTTTCTTTCCACAACAATCTGACTACTCTTAGGTTCTGGTTTTTTTTTTTCCTTTTCTTTTTTTTCTTTTCTTCGAGATGGAGTCTTGCTCTGTTGCCAGGCTGAACAACCTGACTGCTGGCATTCCTCTTAGGTTCTGGTTTTTTTTTTTGAGATGAAGTCTTGCTCTGTCACCAGGCTGGAGTACAGTGGTGCAATCTCAGCTTACTGTAACCTCCACCTCCTAGGTTCAAGTGATTTTCCTGCCTCAGCCTCCCTAGTAGCTGTGGAACTACAGGTGCCCACCACCATGCCCAGTTAATTTTTGTATTTTTAGTAGAGATGGGGTTTCACCATGTTGGCCAGGATATTATCTATCTCTTGACCTCATGATCCACCCTGGTCTCAGCCTCCCAAAGTGCTGGGATTAGAGGCATGAGCCACCGTGCCCAGCCTCCTCTTGGGTTCTGAACAAAGAACAGGTAGGATAAAAAAGAAAGTAGCTATCATTCCTCTGGTCTCTCTACCCAACTGCTGAAGCCAACAACCTAGCAGTGATTCTTTATTCTTCTTTTCCTTTTCTCCTACATCCAATCTGTTGACTCTAATTCAAACATTATATTCTGAATTAAACTAGCCTAAAAGAATTTTAAAACATGTTATCCTATAGCCTCACATCAATGGTTAAAAGTGATACTGCAGTAAATGCTAAAGAAAAAACATAATGACAATACATATAGATACCTTGTCAGGTGTGTTGAGCCTAGACCCAAAGAGATATGAAGGAAATAATGCCAAGATGTTTCAGAGAAAAGGAGAGAAAGCAATGCCCTCTGTTGGTAAAGTTCTGTGCATGTAATAATTCCAAGGGCCTTTAACATTTTTTCTGTAACTTTTCCTATTCCAGAAACCTAGAAAAGAATCAATATTTATTATTAATAGATTTTAAAGGTGAGCTAAAAACTGAGATTATAATCTCATTAGGTTTTTTTTTTTTGAGACTGAGTCTCGCTCTTGTTGCTCAGGCTGGAGGGCAATGGTGCAATCTTGGCTCACCGAAACCTCCACGTCCTGCGTTCAAATGATTCTCCTGCCTCAGCCTCCTGAGTAGCTGGGATTACAGGCATGCACCACCGCACCTGGCTAATTTTGCATTTTTAGTAGGGACAAGGTTTCTCCATGTTGGACAGGCTGGTCTTGAACTCCTGACCTCAGGTGATCCACTCACCTCGGCCTCCCAAAGTATAAATTATTATACCTTTTATAAATGATTAAAGGTATAAATAATGTGACTATCTTCATAAGTCATGCAAGAAAACTCCTTTAATTACTTTTGACCACATTTACTAAACTAGCATTTCATGGAATTACAAAAGGCTTAAAAAAGGAGTATTGTGGTCATATAAACTTGGGGAATGGTGGGACTAACAAATTTAAGTGAAGCTTTTAATTGCAAGATTTATGAATCTTTAACATATCAATATGCATAGTGACACAAGAGTGTGTGACACACCCAAAGGTATTTGACCCCAGAACCTTTTTAAAGAGAATACATATTCATACTTTTTTTTTTTTTTTTTTTTGAGACGGAGTTTCGCTCTTGTTACCCAGGCTGGAGTGCAATGGCGCGATCTCGGCTCACCGCACAACCTCCGCCTCCTGGGTTCAGGCAATTCTCCTGCCTCAGCCTCCTGAGTAGCTGGGATTACAGGCACACGCCACCATGCCCAGCTAATTTTTTTGTATTTTTAGTAGAGGCGGGGTTTCACCATGTTGACCAGGATGGTCTCGATCTCTTGACCTCATGATCCACCCGCCTCAGCCTCCCAAAGTGCTGGGATTACAGGCTTGAGCCACCGCGCCCGGCTCATATTCATACTTGAAAAACATATTGGAAAACACTGCTTTGCAGCTACACTTTACATATACTAGTCAGTAATCATTTATATGTTATATACTGAGCACTGGAAAAATATTTAAGTTCATTCATGTACATTATGTTGAATGAGAAAAGCAAGTCCTAGAACATCATACACAGTAGTGTGTAGTGCAATTACTGGGAAAAAAAGTGTATATATTCAGAAAAATCTAGAAGCTTTAAAAAATAATCTAGAAGCTGTAAAAAAAAAATCTAGAAGCTTTAAAAAATCTAGAAGCTTAAAAAAAATAAGGTATATACTTTTTGGAAGCCCTGAGGGATAATTTTACCATTTTTAAAATGGTGAAGTATTTTGGTTTACTCTTTGTCAACAACATTAAAATTCTAAATATCTTTGAAGCATCATGCCCATTAATCTAGTAGCAATCTGGACTTCAGAACTAAGCTAGCACTAAGTTACAGATGAAAGGACTGTTACAAATATTATTTTAATTTCCCTTCTGCTTGGCAGGAGTTCACTTAAAAATCTGTAATTATTACTTTCTTAAAAATTTACAGCAAATAAACTAAATCTCACTTTTAGGGTTTCATAGAAAGATTTCTACAACTCTAAATTCAATCACCCATTATACTTCTTGCTTGTTATCTATTGTTTTAAAACTTTTTAGCAAAGAATGATTAACTATTGGCCTACATAGTTATCTCTTCAGAATTTGGAGTACATATTATAGATGATGAACTTTATACAAAATCTTACCTTTCTAATGGGTAAATCCTTGATGAAGTCCATCACAGCTTGTCTATCGGGGAGAATTTGGTATTGTCCATTTGGTTTATTCTTATCACTGCATACTTTTGCTAACATTGTATTTGGGGCAATGCCTTAAAAGAAGAATACTCCGATGACTCAAAGAAGTTGATATGTATGATTTTTAAATATGCAATAACAAAACAGAAAAAAATGTTAACTGCAAAAAATCTCAAATGATTTATAGTGCTACTTTAAGAATAACATCTGATTACCATCTATCTTACTTCCCCAGGGCCTGCTATATGGTTTTAGAAAAAGAGATTGTATTAGTTACTGTGGCAGCAAAAATGAGGAATGTTTAGTTCTCCATGATATTTTAAAATGTAAGAGTAACTTCTGAGCTGAGTAATATTAAGTGTTATTATTAGTTTACTTACTACCTTTAGTAGGAATACAGATTTTGTTATTGTTTTTTTTTTTCAAATGGAGTCTCACTCGGTTGCCCAAGCTGAAGTGCAGCAGCGCGATCTTGGCTCACTTCCACCTCCACCTCTTGGGTTCAAGTGATTTTCCTGTCTCGGCCTCCTAAGAACACCTAGCTAATTTCTGTATTTTTAGTATAGGCAGAGTCTCACCATATTGGTCAGGCTGGTCTTGAACTCCTGACCTCAGGTGATCCACTTGCCTTGGCCTTTCAATGTACTGGGATTGCAGGTTTAAGCCAACACGCCTGGCCCAGATTATTTTTATAGTGGTTCTGTATCTACTTCTCAGAAAAGATCCAGATATAATTTAGGATGGATATTTACTCTCTGAAAAGGTCTTTTGCATAGATTATTCACATAAAGCAAAAAATCAAAGATTCTGGACTACAGTATATTTAAAATAATGATAATTAGATTGGTGCATCCTTTTTATGTTATTCACAAAACAAATTACTATTTTTCAGAAAGATGTTTTACAATTTCTGGGAGTCCTGATTAAGATAATTTGAAATGGGTACATTCAAATATATTCATTAAACAGTTCATTTCAATTGTTATATACGACTTCCTAAGATGCATTATTCATTCACATGCTTTGATATAGAAAAAAAGATTTACCTAATCACAATATGGCTTTTACAAGATAGTTCAGGGTCCTCATGATGAATAACAGTTATTATGCTAAGAGACAGTGATGGCCTCATGGATTATCAGCATATGTAAACTTGTTTTTCCTTTTACTACATGGTCCTGGATTGCTATGTTGCTAGTTGGTTATTTCTTTTGTCTCCTACCTTGTGGTCATCCGAGTTCTCTCCTGCAGTGTAATCTTGGAAGGACTGAAGTCTCCCAAGGCAAACTAATAATCAAGTATTACATGCAAAACCAATAAAAATATATTTTGTGCTTAAAAAAAGATAGCTATATAAAATTTACAATCTTTTTTTTTCTTCTCCAGGCTCATAATCTGCTTACTTACAATTTAGTTACTAGGTTCACAGCAATTCTGAATAGGTAAAATTGTTAGAAGTTGAACCAACTAGATAAGTAAAATGAATGAGAAACTACTAAAATTACACTTGAATTAGCCAGTCGGAAAATTGTAACTATAGTGGCCATCAATATCCTTTTGAATACCTGCACTGGCTGTCAGTGTTGTTTTTTGCTCGATTCTGAAACGAATTTCCTTTACCACTTCCTCGGCTGATGTTCCAAAAACAACTGAGTTTTGGAGTATTTGAGGATTGTTTTGCTCTTCATCTCCTGAGGGCTGCAAATCAGGAGGACTCTCTTCAAAAAGTAGCGGAGAGATGGATCGTTCATGCTCGCTCAGTTTATTAACTTCCTTTCCTGGATTATCTAAATCATAAACAGGAAGAGTAACTCATCTTTGTTTTAACAAGTATATACTTTTAAAATTTTGATTTGCTTGTTTATAAAGTATCACTTTGACTAAGGGCACATCCGTAGTAAACAGAAATTACTATTATTACAAGGTAAAAATACCAATCTAGTTATTACCTCATTATATTTATATTTTTCATAAGTGGACTGTAAAATATACTTAAATCTATACTTATACTAAAAATGTCTCCATGAACAAATCCATTAAAGTCTATTTTTCTGGGCTTAATGTAGAAGAAATACAATTTAAATGTATTTATAACAACCAAGGTTAGCAACAAAGCTTTCTGATCCAATCTCACAATTTTATTACATGTAAACATTTTCTGAATTAAGGCAAATGCAGAAGCAAAAATTAAATTTCTAGTTTCAAGATGCATATGAACGTATATTACTTGAAAAATGAACTTGGCTATTTAGGAAAAAATTTAAAGGTAATATAAATAAAGATAATATAAAATAAATACCAAAGACATCAGATTAACTAAAAAATTTAAAATATGCAGTGTGAATTAAGTCATAGATGTTAATTCAGTCAGACATTTTCCAAATTCCCAGGGCACATACATAATAGGCCTTATTTTCTTTCTCTCCTTTTTTTTTTTTTTTTTTTTCTGAGACAGGGTCTCTTCTCTCTCTTGCCCAGGCTGGAGTGTATTTGGGAAAACAGGCGCAAGCCATCACACCTAGCTAACTTTATAATTTTCTGGTAAATAAAGATGGGATTTCATAATCTTGCCCAGGGTGGTCTTGAACTCCTGGGATCAACTGATCCTCTTGCCTCAGCCCCTTCAAGTGCTAGGATTATAAATGTGAATCATCTTGCCTCACCAATAAGCCTTATTTTCAAACTTACATTAGCTGTTATTTATGTGCTTCAGTTCCTGTCATTTTAAAATATTCTGGTTTTAAAATGTAGAGCAATTCAGAGGAAAAACAGGCCAGGTAAGGTGGCTCATACCTGTAATCTCAGCACTTTGGGAGGCTGAGGCGGGGGGATCACTTGAGGTCAGGAGTTCGAGACCAGTCTGGCTAACATGGTGAAACCATATTTCTACTAAAAACGCAAAAATGAGCAAGGCATGGTGGCACACACCTGTAGTCCCAGCTGTTTGGGAGGCTGGGGCAGGAGAATCACTTCAACTCAGGAGGTGGAGATTGCAGTGGGCTGAGATCATGCCACTGCACTCTAGCCTTGGTGGCAGAGTGAGACTCCATCTCAAAAAAAAAAAGACTGTGGAACAGTTGAAACGTTATCTACCTGGAGCTCTTTCCCCATCTGGATGGGTAAAAGTTAAGGTAAAGAGAGCTATAGAAAAACTGCAAACCAAGTTGATGTGTCACATTCATAAACACCCTCTGCAGACTTTTTTAGGCCATGTTTTATACCTCTTGCCTCTACCACCCTGCTCTCAGGTGAATCACTGTGAGAGCAGAACTATACAGCAGGAAGCAAAGAATGCTGCCTTCTGGTACATTATCAGGGCTTCTACAGAATGTTCAGGTACCTTTTCAATCTGAACTACACTCTACTTTTCTGTGAGGCCTGGCTGTGTAACTAACCACGGAAGTAGTTTCTTATTTGCTTTCTGACAGAAATATCTTTATAACCCCCATAACTTGAGGTAATCAGAATATAACGGTAAGATTAAAGCACGCCTTTTGGACGACACGTGCTAAAAAGTGTATGCTCTTTCAGTTTCTTATATTGTCTGGCACTCACCATCCAGATTTAGATGAGTAAATATTTTTAAAATTATTATTTTAAAAATTTGTATGTAGAGATGGTAGTAAGCAATACACTTCCAAAGACAAACACCTTCTAGAAAACAGGGAAACAGCAGAAAATGTCTTGAACTTTAGAGACATCTTTAGACAACTTTAGAGGAAGATGTATCAATTGCCTGCCATAGTTCCAATGCACTATTGACAATTTCCCATGGCATAATGTGAGGTCAGACATGCCTGAAAGTCCAGCCCACAGGGATTTATACATGAGAAGAAAAGTTAAACTATTTCAATTGCTTGAGAATATGAAAATACATGAAGAGGCACTATACAAGTAAATACGTTAAAAGCAATAGATATTAAAAATTCACATACTCATAGTGAGTTTGGACATTATAATAAATGAAAAGAACATTAGTAGGCCAGGCATGGTGGCTCAAGCCTGTCATCTCTGCACTTTGGGAGGCTGAGGCAGGTGGATCATAAGGTCAGGAGTTCGAGACCAGCCTTGCCAACATTGTGAAAATTCGCATCTATGAAAAATACAAAAAATTAGCCAGGCGTGGTGGCAGGCACCTGTAATCTTAGCTACCAGGAGGCTGAGGCCGGAGAACTGCTTGAACCCGGGCAGTGGCGGTTGCAGTGAGCCGAGACTGCACCACTGCACTCCAGCCTGGGCAACAGAGTGAGACTTTGTCTCAAAAACAAACAAAAAAAAAAAAAGAAGAAGAAGAACAGTAGTGGAAAATGAAAACATTTACTTTAATCCCAGTGTAAAAATTTTAAAACATATCATGCAAGTAATTATTATAGGAGGCCCTCAGGGGATGCTTTGATGTAATTATTTAATGATTTTCCCTCATTATCTTGTGAAAGTAAGGAATTAATAAACTAAGATTTTATGCAAAGTGACATCAGGTTTTATGTACCACATCCTCAAACAATAAAGTTAATACTAAGTAAGGGAAACCTTTGCTCTATGCCTCTGTGTCCAGAAGTAATGATTATTTTTTAATGTTTCTAATAAAAGAAAAGAGAGACCTATCCCTTAGGGCTTTAAATAAGGTAATAAAGTTGTGATTTGATGCCCATATTAAACTTGCTCCAAATTATGTGAGTCACAAAGTGAGAGAGTTAAGATTAATGTCATTTTGGACCTACCATTTTTGTTTCAGGGAAAGTTACAAACAGCTTTCCCTAACACTGCCTGGCCCCTCTGAAGCAATGAGTTGTACACATGAAATGTTCTTGTGGGTTGTGAGCAAACTCTTCTGTGCCACTTTTTCATCCAGGTGAACTTTATTCAGAGATCCAAAACATCTTAGACGTGTGAAATAATCATACTTTTGACAAAATGTTTTACGCAGTATATGTAATATCTGCATGTTTCTTGGTATTGCTTTTAGATAGGTAATAAAGGTATTATTTAAGAAAAAAAAAACAAAAAACAAAAAACCCTGGAATCTTGAAACTACAAAGTCTAAGGCAAAGAAGGGGGTGGAAAGTCATTAATTTTGGCAGAGCTGAAAACAGTCATAATTGCTATAATAGATTACAGAAAATTAGGACAATGAAGAAAAATAGAATCGTCCTATGTTTTGATATATTTGAGGCTAGTCTTTTCTAACAACAACAAAAGGCCACCTTAAACAGAAAACTTTCTCAGCTTCAATGCCACCTAAACATTTTTTAGGAAAATAACTGCTATAAAATTATTTTGTTCAGGGACTCCTCAGACTCTTAAGCTTAGAGATTTAACAATCACATTTTGTTTATATGTGATATTCTACATGTTTAACTCAGAAAACCCACTGGTATTTTTTAAATTTCTGATTTTACATTTTTATAAAGGTACATCTATTCCTTCTACCTATGCAGGCTAATAAATTAACTGGGTTAACTCAAAGAGTTATGCTTTTTTTTTCACTCCTTCTTGGTTTGATAGTCTTAATAAGTTGCTTACCATTTTCTACTGAGTTTCCCATTTTAATGAAATACCTTCTTTTATCCTCAGGCCAATTTTGTCTTTCTTGTAAGTGCTTTGTTATATTCAAGTAGGCTTCATCAAGACTCATGGCCATAAAATTGGGATCATAATCAGCAAGTATTTCTTTAACCTTCAAATAAAACAAAAAAAAAGTTTAAAATTTTACTGTGATAGCAAATTTCTTCTGTCATATGTAGCTGATAAGAAATGTTAATATTCTTAGTTTGCAACTACAGTAACAATCCTGCAATCAATAGCTCATGGATTTAAAGCATAAATAATCCACTACCAGGGAATATTTGTCAAAATTTCCTTTTGTCTTAAAATAGACCATGAAGGCAGAAGATAATGAAATAGCTTCATTTGATACCACCTCTATTTGGCCACCTATATCTAGTTATAGCAGGCAATTAAAATAAATCTCAGATAACATTATCTGCTAGGCACATACAAAAAAATGGTTAACATTTTAGGGAGCTAGTCAGAAGCTGAAATGGGAATGACAGAATTGTATTCCCTCCTACCTTTTGTCATTTTTTTGTTTTCGGTTCATTTTAAAAAGGAATAATCTCATGTAAAGGTACTATATTGCTTTAGAAATAGTTCAACTAATTATAACATGCACATAAAACTCCACTTACTATATACATTAATTAATGCATGAATCCACTTACTACATACGTTAATTAATGCATTAATCCATACAGAAAAATGTTTTTCCATTTCCTATTACTTATTAGGATCCTGAGTGGGAAAAATGACCAATCTGCAGTGTACTTCCATGAATACCTTAAATGATGGGGAACAGTCTGGAGTTACATCTTAGGATAAAAGAAATACATATAAAGATTAGAAATATAGATGCTACAATTCAGAAATGCCTTTTATATAAGATAGTGTTATTACATAAAACTATGACTTTTTTTCTAATCGCTGAAGTATCAGCTATAACTGGGGGCAATGGTTCTCAAAATAACATGCATATTTTCCAGCTTGGTGACAGAGTGAGAACCTGCCTCAAAAAAAATGTATATTAGAAAACATCTTTGCTGAATTACGTTATGCTTCCATTTAGCTTTTAAAACTGTCTGCTGTATCACAAGAAAACTGTTCCTTGTTTTATAAAAAGAAAGCTTTTTAGCTTAATATAATTATGAACAGCAGAGTCAAAAGGTATTTTAGAAAATGGTGATATGAACTTGGCCAAGTTTTACTCAGAGAGTGCCTTAATTAGCTTTGTTCTTGTTATAATGTGCTCAAACAGAATCTTTCCAATGAAAATGAAACTCTGGGAAGTCTGTAACTGGCAGCCTACTAAGATTCTGAATGAAAAGTACTCCCTAGAGACACTGTTGAGTATTTATTAACTTCCTTTACATAGGATACTGCAAAGGATTAAAACAGTCACATTCCAGTAAAAATCAAGCACTTAATGCTCTGATATTTTAGATAAAACAAAAATGGCTAGCTGGGCATGGTGGCTCATGCCTGTAATCCCAGCACTTTGGGAGGCCCAGGTGGGTTAATTTTTGAGGCCAGGAGTTCAAGACTAGCCTGAGCAACAGAGGGAAACCCTAACTCTGCCAAAATATTTTAAAATGAAGAGGGTGTGGTGATGCATGCCTGTGATTCTAGCCACTCAGGAGGCTGAGGCCAGAGGACTGCTTTAGCTCAAGAGTTTAAGGTTACAGTGAGGTATGATCGAGCCAGCCACAGCACTCCAGCCTGGGCTACAGAGTGAGACCCTGTCTCAAAAAAAGAAAGGAGGAGTTTTTTCTGAAAACTTTTTTTTTTTTTTTTAAGATGGGAGTCTCTGTTGCCCAGGCTGGAGTTCAGTGGTGCAATCTCAGCTCACTGCAACCTCCACCTCCCAGGTTCAAGCGATTCTCCTGCCTCAGCCTTCCAAGTAGCTAGAATGACACCTCCGGCTAATTTTTTTTTTTTTTTTTTTTTTTTGTATTTTTAGTAGAGACAGGGTTTCACCATGTTAGCCAGGATGGCCTTGGCCTCCCAAAGTGCTGGAATTACAGGTGTGAACCACCTAGCCCAGCCTTCTTAAACTTTCTAACCAAGTCATGAATATTAATGTATCCATAAGTCAGTGATAAATTTGTTCTACAGTTTATTTACACGTAAGAACTCATTTGTTATCTGCTAATAAACTGGCTAGATTCTGCTCAAATGTGAAGAGTTCTCTGACTTACATAAGTAACCAGACTAAACTAACTAAAAGTACTTTGGTTCTCACTGGCATACTGCCAGAAGTTTTACTGAGTTAAACCACAACTTTAAAAAACACCCCTTCTTACTAAATTTTTGTAGCACTTTTAAAACTTAATAGGCTATATTTATGATTAGCATTTTTCTCATTTTAATTAGGAATACAATAAAAGAGATAAACAGGAACCAAACATGAGTGTGCTCCCTTCTTGCCCCATCACCCTTTCAGAGGTATGCACAAAGCACTTGCTGTCAAAGACTGCCTTGGAAGGAAAAAAACACCTGTTTTTAAACTTGGGATAGTGTCACTTCTACGGAAAATGAGGTAGAATACAAGTAAGAGGGGTGAATTTAAAGACCCCTGGCATAACTAAAGAGTAGTAAGTATTAGGCCACAGTTTTTTAAGTGTTTCTATTCAGAAAGTAGTCTTTAACACATTTTACTATAGCAGTCTAAAAGTATTTGATGTAGCAATCTAAAATCTTAATTCAAAAATTAAATTCCAGCACTGCATGAAAGGCTAGTTGTCATAAAAAAATTTAAAAGTGGCAGTTTTTCACATATGACAGTTTGGCAATTTTAGTAAATATTCAGATCTACTTCAAAGATCATTCCTGAAGCAATGGATTACTCCCTTTTTAATTATCAGTCTCTTAGTAAATAATTGTGGGGCAAATAGACTAATCAAAATTGAATTTTATCACTGTTTAACAACATTAATAAAGAATTACTCAGAAAATATGTTGAAATTAAATGAGCAGATTCTGTAGGTTATAAATAAAATGTGGTTATAGAAAAAATGTATATTAAGAAAAAATAGCTAAATTTAATTTTATATTGTCATTAAGGCAGTTCAATGTTTGAGGAAATAGGAAGAGTTTTCTAAGCAAAGGAAAACTGCATGGAAAGGTAAAGAATTGGGAAATAGAATGATGTATTCTGGATACTATTAAATGATGAGCAGACTCTGTAGGTTATAAATAAAATGTGGTTATAGAAAAAAATGTATATTAAAAAAAAATAGCTAAATTTAATTTTATATTGTCATTAAGGCAGTTCAATGTTTGAGGAAACAGGAAGAGTTTTCTAAGCAAAGGAAAACTGCATGGAAAGGTAAAGAACTGGGAAACAGAATGATGTATTCTGGATACTATATGCAGCTCAGTATTCAATATACAAGCTGAAAAAGTGGTAGGAGGCTCGACTGAAAGGATAAGCTAAGACCAAATTCTGACGTTCTAAGGCACTTGGACTTGACTCTCCAGGTGACAGGAAATCAGTGAAAGGCTAAAGTAGGGGTGAGACATTAACTTACCTCTTTACTCACAGCTCGGTATTTGTCAAAGTTTGGGGGCACTATTATAAGATGTGGGCAGAGTCTCTTAGCAATAAATCCTGGCATAGCTGCACGAACACCAAACCTCCTTGCACAGTAATTTGAAGTAGTCTGAAAGAGAATTCACCACATGGAAAAAATATATACAAACCTAAATGAGCATATATTGATCAATGCATTCATAAGACATATTAATATGTGCATTTTCAATTCAAGGACATTTCATTTATAGGCCACTGTTTTAACCTGTTTTCACTTATTCTGTCATGGTATTTTGATACCATGACCCTCTTTCATTACTATCCCTATATTTATAATGTGATACCAGGTATATGCAAGACGGTGCTAATAAAAATATTTTCTTATATTTCCAGTAACTAAACTTCATTGATTTTAAGGCCTACTTGCAATAGAATAAATATCAAAGTTTGGATGGTAGTGAGTTACATTACATGAAAGTAATAGTATAGTAAATAGTAAAGAATAGTCATAAAATAATAGTGTAGTACAAATAGTATAGATGTTACATTATACAAAGTAATAGTATAGCGTAACAGTATACTTTTGGAATTTGCTGTATTTGGGATTTTGGAAATTTTTCATCTAGAACAAAAATATAAGGTCTACTATGTGGTCAGCCGAATTAAGTCTCCAAAATGAAGTGATTGAAGCTTAAAGTAAGTTTAGAAATTAAGGTTTTTTTCCTTAAGGTTTAATTATCTTTTTTGCTGAAAACATTCTGACTAGGAGATAGAACTACAAAAGTATGAGAGTAAAAAGGAGAATATTATTTATTAAATCCTGTTGATGACGACATCTGACAAAAGTCTATGTGAATGTGGTAGACCACAATACTATTTATAAAATGAATTCTATCACAAATTGAATCCTTATTTGGAATCTCAAGTGAAATTTCAAAAAATGCAAAACAGAACCAAATGAAGGAATTGTTTCAGAATAATATCAATTTTCCAATAATGATTTTCAAATGGCAATTAAAACATCTTGATAGTACTCAAAACTATACTAATCCTTGGTCAGTGTTCTGGAACAGAAAATGCAGATAGTGCTGGAAACAAAACCAGTGCTTAAGTAAATAAGTTTAATAGAATTGATATAAAAGCTAGATCTATGGTAGAGGAGAAACAAACTTTTAAATAAGAGTTTCTCTAACTTTTAGATGTGTGGTATATTGTAGATCACAGCCATAGTGCTTTATAGTTACTCTTTTCAAAACGGGTTCTAGTTCCTCATGCCACATGACTTGTCCTGTGACTTGGTTAGATGAAAATAATGTGAGGGTCGTGACACTGAGTTCTGAAACCTAGGCTTTTGCTTTTTGTAATCCAGCAACTACTGTAAATATTTTGGGGTAGATTAATAAACGATGAGGCAACAATGGAGAAAGTTCTAAGGCTGGAATCCATTCCAGTCTCCTCAGTCCCAGTGCCAGACCTGTGAATGATGCCATCTTGGATTTTTTAGCGTCAGTTAAATTGCCCTAGCCAATTCCAGATACAGTAGAGTTGAGCCATCACCATTGCACTCTGCTCAAATTACAGAATCATGAGCAAATAAATTTTGACTGTCCACTAAATACTGTTATGCAGCAATAGATCACTGCTACAGGGTCTCAGTTGCAACTCTCAGTGCCAAGTTAGAACATTTCAAAAATCTATCAAATTCACCAAAAAAGAATTTTACCTGTAGGAATAAGGTTTAACAGGACAAAAAATTATGCTCATTAGAAGGGAAACCAATTTGTTCAACATACAAAAGGGGTAATCTTTGTTTAACTATAACAAATAGTAATTTTGAATTTTGAAACAATAACTGATTTTTAGGAGGACAGAAATTGTAGGAAAGGAAATATTTTGTAGATTTCAAAAGCAGTTGGTTTAGCTTTAACATGCCTACAGCAAGTTTGAATGTATATATATACATACATAAGCATACATAAATTTAGTGTTATATTTTAATAAAATTAAATATATTTTTTCAAATATTTATTGATGATTTATAGGAAAGGGGAGTTTCCTTTCAAAAAACAGTGTTTTGGAATCAGAGTTATCAGTTGGCTGCATACTCATAGAGGCAGACATAAAAAACAGATTATAGTTTTATAATAAAATCATAACTCAGTAAGAATTAGTTTTATAGCTATCTAAGGCATGGGAAGGAGTTAGGAACAGGGAAAAAGTCTTCTTGTTTATCTAATACTTTTTAAATACCAAAACCCATCTATTCCAGTTGCTACTTTTAATTCCCAACACATTTTCAGCCACACAGAGCTATCCTGGTCATTTTTACCTTCTAAGGTTAGAGTGGTAAAAAGGAAGAGCAATATAGTAATCAGAAAAGCAAAGGTTCCAAGTCATGGGAAAAACAATTTAATTGCATTCTAAATGTACTATATTAACAAAATATGTTATTCCAGAACTGGGATTGGTAAACCTTTTCTTTTCTGTGTAAGTCCAAATAGTAATCATTTTAGGCTTTGCAGATCATTGAATTATTGAACTCTGCTCTTTTAGTGCAACAACAGTAATAAATAAATGGGTGTGACTTTGTTCCAATAAAAAACTGGGTTTGGCCTGTAGACCACTTTGAAAATCTTTATTAATACTTTAGAATATAATTTTTTTCTTCTTCTTCAACTCTCTTTCACTAGAATGGTTACTTAAGGAAAAATTTAATTTGCCTTGTAAATTATTAGGTTTGTAACTTTGGGCAAGTAATTAAACATCTTTGAGTTTTTCTTTTTTCTCAAATGGAAATAAAAACTAGTACCTTAAAGCAGCAATTCCTAACCTTTTTGGAACCAAAGAATGGTTTCGTGAAAGACAATTTTTCCATGAACTGGTAGGGATGATGGTTTTGAGATGATTCAAGCATGTTACATTTATTGTGCACTTTATTTCTATTATAATTACACTATAATATATAATGAAATAATTATCCAACTCACCATAATGTAGAATCAATGGGAGCCCTGAGCTTGTTTTCCTGCAACTAGACGATCCCATCTGGGAGTGATGGCAGACAGTGACAGATCATCAGGCATTAGATTCTCTTAAGGAGGAGGCAACCTGGATCTTCCCATGTGCAGTTCACAACAGGGTTTGTGCTCCTATGAGAGTCTAATGCTGTCACTTATCTGACAGGAAGCGGAGCTCAGGGAGTAATGCAAGTGATGGGAAGTGGTTATAAATACAGATGAAGCTTCGTTCGCATGCCTGACGCTCACCTACTGTGTGAGGCCCAGTACCTAACAGGCCACAGACCAATACCAGTCTGTGAACTGGGGGCTGGACCCTTGCCTTAAAGTATGTTAAAAGGATTCAGTAATTCAGTCATGTATAGGGCACCCAGAAAAATACTCAGCAAACTGGTAGACCTCAATAAAGAATTCCCCTTTCATAAACCAGTAAACTTAAGAATATGTTACAGAATTTCCTTTTTGTTTTTGATCTTACCAGCATACTCATTGATCCTACAGCAATGGGTTTATCCTTCAGTTCTGGATTGTCCCTCATTTCTACAGCTGCATAGAAAGCATCCATGTCAATGTGCACTATGGTATTGTTCAAATTTCGGCTCTGTTCTAATTCCACTGCAAATCTGTCAACCTTAATTTTTTTAAAAAGTTAACACATATTTAGACAACATAATATTGAAACACCATTAATCATAACAGTAATCTTAATTTAGTAAGTATTCATCTATCAGTCTCTGTCCACTCACCCATCTATCCATCCATTCATTCATCCACCCACCTACTTATTTAGGGGGTGTACATTTTGTTGTTCAAGGGTGTTTATGAGTTTATATCTTATTACTGTTTATGAGTGTTTATATATATATTTTACTTTTTTAAAATTAAAATTGGTAATTGCTTTTATTTTCGTAGAGACAGCCTGTCCTCAAATATCATTCCCTATCAACCCTTTCATCTCTCCAAACCGTCAGGCACACGACAGAAACTTAATATTTAATGAATGACTGAATGAGCTAATCCAACTGTTTTTATCAAATGATTCTACTGCTTTATAAATTTGGAGTTCAACTCACTGCAATTAAAAGCTTCAATGTAGGTAAGATTGCCATTTGATTCATAATATTTATGTCTTAAAAGAGCAACCAAGGAAATATACAACAAAAAACTATACTTCTTTGGCATATGATGCTTATGTTGAACAGTAAGGAACAACTGAAAATACTGAAGCATAATGTAAACATTCCCTCTGCAGAACTGCTTTTATAATGTTAAAATTTGATGTTAATCTATACATGTAAAATTTAAAACCCAAGCTGCAATTTATTCTTCATGAACTTTTATATGTCAAACATGATAGTGAAGAATTTTAACCTTTAAAGAATTTTAGTTTCTTCAGAGAAAAAGAGTTAGATTTACAATAAGAAAGAAATGAAAGGGGACAGAAATAAACAAAGGAAGCAAGTAAGAAAAGTGAGTATGTAGCTGACATACTCATTTCTAACTTCCATTTTTGTGGCCAGCCTCCACTATCAAGGCAAGAAAGGCTAAATACTCACTTTTCCAGCTTACCCTGCAGCCAGAGGTGGCTGTGTAACAGCTGTGATCTACGCAACATATAAGGAAGTTACCAAGATCATTAAAGTAAAATCATAAGAGAAGAAATCTATTAAATGAGCTGGAAAACATAGAGAACATAGAGCAGTGCCAGGTACACAGTACAAGTTCAATAAATGCATCTATTATTTAAAGGATCAATGGATAGCTGTATAATAAAACATCAAAAACAGAGAAAACCAGCCAGCAATGAGCAAGTGGGGTGATCTATAGAATGAAAATAACTTCTGTCATGTGGAGTTCCCTCTAGCAAATTTTCTCAAAAGTGGAGAGCTACAGAAGTATATGTGGCTTTTTCCCTCATGCTGGACTCCAACTTTGCCTCTACTATGCAGAATTTTTTTATGTCCCTCCTTCTTAGTGTTATTGTGACACTAACTGCCCACTAGTCGCAGGTCAAAACTGTAACTCCTTTTTTAGAGGCAATTACCCTGACTCATGTTTGTCTCCAAAAAGCACAGTGAAATCTGCAGAAGGCCTCCCCTTGTTTAGGATACAGCTCACCGAATGACCTGGGTTGCTCTATGCCTTCCTCAGGCTGTTCCTCTGTCTGGAATGCCTTTCTGAGCTCTGTCACAAGCTTTCAAGGATCAGCTGAAATATCTCTTGGTACCCAACAGAATCTCTGTCCTCTGTGCCATGGAATTTAATGTTCCTTGTTTTCCTGCTCTTGCATGGCAGTTATTGTATTAGATATTAAATTGTGAGTTCCTTCAGGAGAAAAACCTTATTTGACTTCAAATTATTTTCTCACAAGAGAAATAGCGAGGGGAGACTAGAAGAAAAAGAATAAAATGTATAGTAGTATATTAAAGGTAGTTTAAAAACAGAAAGCAGTAATAGTAGAAAAATCTTGAAGAAATCTAACTTCTTACAGTAAAATCCTACACCTAATACATGGAACTTTTAAATACTGCTACAATGTAACATGCTAATTAAAACCTACTTATTTTAGTACCTCAATTCTAAACCAGAGAATAGCATCATGACCAGATATAAACAAATTATGGAGACTAATAAAAGCAAATGTAAGCTAAAAGCTACTCTACCTTAATCCAGAAAATATACCTAAGATATAAGAGTCAAGTGAGGATAAGGAAGTGGCATCTAAGATGCTTAGATGTGGAATCATCTAGAAAAGAAAAAGATAATAGACAAATGGGAAAAAATTCTCCTCAGACTAATATGTTAATGTAACTATAATGTCTTCAGCAAGCTATTCTCTTTTTTTGTGCTTAAAGCAAGCATAGCTGCCAAAAGGAAACCTCCCCACTGTATGACTCATACATTCCACTTTCCTTTACTATCTCTCATTAGTCATCCTTCTCTGAACTCTTCTCTTTCTACATCAACCAGATGCATGTCACTATTGCTTTTAAAAGTTTCTTCAACGGAAATCCCCATTCATATTGTCCTCTCTTAATTCCAGTTTCCAATAACTTTCAAGTTCTGATCTGAGTCAACATGCACATTGTTCCTTTTGCTACTGTTCAAAACTGGTATGTGCCACACTGGTTAAGAATAAGGGCTTTGTTGATTCCTGGGGAAGATGGCCGAACAGTAACTGCTCCTGTCTGCAGCTCCCAGAGAGATCAACACAGAAAGTGGGTGATTTCTGCACTTCCAACAAAGGTAACTAGCTCATCTCAATGGGACTGGTTAGACAGTGGGTGTAGCCCACAGAGGGTGAGGAGAAGCACGGTGGAGTGTCTCCTCACATGGGAAGCCCAAGGAGTCAGGAACTCCTTCCCCTAGCCAAGGGAAGCCATGAGGGACTGTGCCACGAGTGAGGGATGGTGCTATCCGGCCCAGATACTAGCTTTTATCACTATCATCGCAATACGCAGACCAGGAGATTCCCTCAGGTGCCAATACCATTAGGTATTGGCACCTGAGGGAATTGGCTGAATTGAAACCCTGTGTTTCAAGTACAAAACAGGGCAGCCATTTGGGCAGACACCAAGCTAGCTGCAGAGTTTTTTTTTTTTTTTGTACCCTAGTGGCACCTGGTATGCCAGCAAGATAGAACCATTCACTCTACTGGAAAGGGGGCTGAAGCCAGGTAGCCAAGTGGTCTAGTTCAGCAGAACCCACCCCCAGGAGCCCAGAAAGCTAAGATTCACTGGCTTGAAATTCTCGCTGCCAGCACAGCAGTCTGAAGTCGACCTGGGATGCTCAAGCTTGGCACGGAGAGGGGTGCCCACCATTACTGAGGCTTGAGCAGAAGGGTTTTCCCTTCACAGTGTAAACAAAGCTGCAGGCAAATATAAAGAACAACACAAAGATATTCCTAGAGAAGAGCAACCCCAAGACATATAATCATCAGATTCACCAAGGATGAAATGAAGGAAAAGTTAAGGTCAGCCAGAGAGAAATACTGGGTTACCCACAAAGGGAAGTCCATCAAAATACATCAGATCTCTCTGCAGAAACCCTACAAGCTAGAAAAGAGTGGTGGCCAACATTCAACATTCCTAAAGAAAAGAATTTTCAACCCAGAATTTCATATCCAGCCAAACTAAGCTTCATAAGCAAAGGAGAAATAAAATCCTTTACAGACAAGCAAATGCTGAGAGATTCTGTCACTACCAGGCCTACCTTACAAGAGCTCCTGAAGGAAGCACTAAATATGGAAAGGAAAAATCAGTATCAACCACTGTAAAAAACATACCAAATTGTAAATATCATCAACACTATGAAGACATCGCATAAATTAATGGGCAAAATAACCTGCTAGCATCATGACAGGATCAAATTCACATATAACAATGCTAACCTTAAAGGGAAATGGGCCAAATGCCCCAATTAAAAGACACAAACTGGCAAACTGGATGAAGAGTTAAGACGCATTGGTGTGCTGTATTCAGGAGACCCATCGCATATGTAAAGACACATAGGCTCAACATACAGGGATGGAGGAAGATTTGTCAAGCGAAGGGAAAAAAAAAAAGAAAAGCAGAGGTTGCAATCCTAGTCTTGATAAAACAGACTTCAAACCAACAAAGAACAAAAAAGACAAAGGGCATTATATAATGGTAAAAGGATCAATGCAACAAGAAGAGCTAACTATCCTAAATATATATGCACCCAACACAGGAGCACTCAGATTCACAAAGCAAGTTCTTAGAGACCTACAAAGAGACTTAGACTCTCACACAATAATAGTGGGAGACTTTAATACCCCACTGTCAACATTAGGGACAGTAAATTAACAAGGATATTCAGGACTTGAACTCAGCTGTGGACTAAGTGGACTTAATAGACATCTATAGAACTCTCCACCCCAAATCAACAGAATATACATATTCTCTGCACCACACAGCACTTGTTTTAAAACTCAATACATAATTGAAAATAAAATATGCCTCAGCAAATGCAAAAGAAAGAAAATCCTAACAGTCTCTTACACCACAGTGCAATCAAATTGGAACTCAGGATTAAGAAACTCACTCAAAACTGCACAAATACCTGAAAACTGAACAACCTGCTCTGAATGACTCCTGGATAAATAACAAAATCAAGGCAGAAATAAACAAGTTATTTGAAACCAGTGAGAACAAAGACACAATGTACCAGAATCGCTGGGACACAGCTAAAGCAGTGTTAAGGGGGAAATTTATAGCACTAAATGCCCACAGGAGACAGCAGGAAAGACCTAAAACAGACATCATAACAGCACAATTAAAAGAACTAAAGAAGCAAGGGCAAACAAATACAAAAGCTAGCAGAAGACAAGAAATAAATAGTATCAGAGCAGAACTGAAGGAGACAGAGACACAAAAAAACCCTTCAAAAAAATCAATGAATTCAGGAGCTGGTTTTTTAAAAAGATTAACAAAACAGACTGCTAGACAGACTAATAAAGAAGAAAAGAGAAGAATCAAATAGATGCAATAAAAAATGATAAGAGAGATACCACCTCTGATCCCACAGATATACAAAATACCATCAGAGAATACTTCAAACACCTCTATGCAAATAAATAAAAAATCTAGAAGAAATGGATAAATTCCTGGA